AGATAATGTTAACAAAACTGAGCTTACAAACTCGGTCTTCATATAATGTTAACAAAACTGAGCTTACAAACTCGGTCTTCATATAATGTTAACAAAACTGAGTTTTCAAACTTGGTCCTTTCATAATGTAAACAAAACTGAGTTTTCAAACTTGGTCCTTTCATAATGTAAACAAAACTGAGATTACAATACTTGGTCCTCACATAAAGTTAACAAAACTGAGATTAAAATACTTGGTCCTAAAATAGTGTTAACAAAAATGAGATTACAATACTTGGTCCTAACATAATGTTAACAAAACTGAGATTAAAATACTTGGTCCTAACATAATGTTAACAAAACTGAGTATACAAAATTAATCATCACATAACGTCAATAAAACTGAGATTACAATTAACCTCTGTTTACAGTTGGACGAGTACCAATAGCATCTGACCAATCAGGAAGCTCGTACTTCAACAAAAGATTTACGGTAAGATTGTAGTTACTGTTACTATGATTCATGCGCTTGTCCATATTTTGATGTCACGCTTTATTTTAACGGTTCTGATTACTCATTCCCCATCGCCCGGAAAAGTCATACTTCATCTAAAATGACGTCACACGACAGTCTAATCCCACGTCATTAATTAGCTTTTTTTTAATTATTTTTTTTTAAAGGAAATAACTATGCTGGGTCCAAAATAAGTGTTATTGAACATTTTCTTTAATTCTTAAAAGTTTAACCTGTTTTACAAAACATTTTTTAAAACGCGAGTGTGACATCATAATTTCTGAACACACACACGCTCTCCCTTATCACACATCGTTACAAAATCAACTCCCATAAGAGAGTGACGTCACTTATGGACGAACCCCCCTCCCCTTAACCTGTATAACCGCTTGTTGACGTCTTTGAAACATTTTCTATAACGTCCACATGAGGGGGGGGGAGGAGGGTCGTAAGTCCAAGTTTTTGGATTTACACGTGTAAACAGGAGCGGAAAAAATGGGAGGGGGGGGGGGGGCGAAAAAAATATGGACTTGATAAATCGATGATGAACCCAAGCTAGAAAAAAAGGTTGGCAAAATAATCCCTGAGTGTTATGGCGAAATTGTAAAAAAAAAGGTTATGCCCCAGAAACTAAAAGTCGGTTTTGTTATGGGCCCCTTGTACACTCCAGCCCACCCCAGTACATCAATGTTTAATATGTACTCACCCACGACGCAAAGTCATATGGTACATATAACTATTATAACTTATGTCCAGTGTTTCTTCCAGGCTTTTTTTCTCCGGGGGGGGGGGGGGCACTTGAAATTTTCGGGGGGGGGGGGGGGGGCGGACACTGTTAAATGTATATATTTTCTATATAAATTCCATTACGCTCGGGGGAGGGGGGTTGGTAGACTTTTTTCGAAGGGGGAGAGGGCGGAGCCCCCCCCCCCCCCCCCGAAGAGATGCTGGAAGAAATTCTGCTTATCTCAAATGAACAAAACATAGGCTACTATCCCTTTTTTACAAGCTTTTATTTAACTCACTTCCTCGACAGTCTGTCTGTCTGTCTAGACGGAAACGCAGGAGTGAAAATTCGGACAGTTCTACTTGACCGACACGATTCACAGTTGGCACGTGGGTCAAGACATGAAGACAATGCAATCTGAAACTAAATTTGACTTAATTGGATGCCTAATTGATTTTTTATGAATTAATTAAAATTTGGACCGAATTAGTAGGCATGTCTAGCCAACCACACCACACGCGTCATCAATAGCTGCGCCATCACGACCACGTAATGGCTGCGTTCAAAAACCATTGCGCGCCTACTGAACGTGATATTCAGTAGGCGCGCAATGGTTTTTAGTCATGTAACTCTATTGTAGATAAAACATGTAAAGTACTGAAAAAAAAATTCATAAAAAACGTTTTAATAACAAGCTTTTATGTAATGATGCACTAAAAAGTAGAAAATAAATTATAGACTACTATTTAAATAACTATAAAGAAAAGCGTGGGTGTCTTCCTTAACATTAGTAAAGGTATCCAATAGATACTAAAGTGACCCACGCTTTTCTTTATAGTTATTTAAATAGTAGTCTATAATTTATTTTCTACTTTTTAGTGCATCATTACATAAAAGCTTGTTATTAAAACGTTTTTTATGAATTTTTTTTTACAAGCTTTTATTTAACTCACTTCCTCGTCATTCTGTCTGTCGTCAGTCTAGATAGAAACGCAGGAGTGAAAATTCGGACAGTTCTACTTGACCGATACGATTCACAGTTGGCACGTGGGTCAAGACATGAAGACAATGCAATCTGAAACTAAATTTGACTTAATTGGATGCCTAATTGATTTTTTATGAATTAATTAAAATTTGGACCGAATTAGTAGGCATGTCTAGCCAACCACACCACACGCGTCATCAATAGCTGCGCCATCACGACCACGTAATGGCTGCGTTCAAAAACCATTGCGCGCCTACTGAACGTGATATTCAGTAGGCGCGCAATGGTTTTTAGTCATGTAACTCTATTGTAGATAAAACATGTAAAGTACTGAAAAAAAAATTCATAAAAAACGTTTTAATAACAAGCTTTTATGTAATGATGCACTAAAAAGTAGAAAATAAATTATAGACTACTATTTAAATAACTATAAAGAAAAGCGTGGGTGTCTTCCTTAACATTAGTAAAGGTATCCAATAGATACTAAAGTGACCCACGCTTTTCTTTATAGTTATTTAAATAGTAGTCTATAATTTATTTTCTACTTTTTAGTGCATCATTACATAAAAGCTTGTTATTAAAACGTTTTTTATGAATTTTTTTTTAACAAACCACAATTCATCCTTGTTTTAAATTTAGTAAACTTTTTTTTTCTCAGGATGAAGAGTTACAGAAGGCCAAACGTACTAGTAAGTTCTTGTGTAACAAAATAAATTTCCTGTGTCTAGTCTCAGCGTTTGGGTTTAAATTAGAGGCTAGGTTGTCTTTTTACTGTCCAATATTTCTGACATTTATTATTTATAACGCCCACACACATTAAGGATTGTGCTCTATGTTTTTGATTTTTTTTTTTTAAAAAGGTTTTCAAAATGTTTAAAAATATTCTTCCAAACCAACAATTTTAAATACCCATGATGTGACGAATCAATCCCAATAAAAATGAATAATACCCTGTATTAAAAAAAAAAGTTTATTATAGTTTAATGCATCTTATTCTTTTCTTAACGATTTGTCCAAAAATACGTCACGAATTATAATTTAAGTGAATAGGCCATAGGCGTAGCGACCCTTCCCGGCGCCCGGGGACAAACTTTTCGATTTGCACCCCCTCAACCTTTCAATGTATTTTTCCAACCCATTTTGGCGCCCCCTAAGGTCGGCGCCCGGGGACATATGTCCCTCCCCCCCCCCCCCTACTTGAATAGGCCATACGTTTTATTTTATAAATCTTTTTAAGAAATAGATCTAGATTACAGACAAACTTTTGCGTTAGTTTTTATCGTGAAAACAAACCTGAACACACCCCCCACCCCCCCATAAGAATAACGTCATTTGAAATATAACCAATACATACCTTGATAACACCCCCCTCCCCTCACTCTAAAGTTAAGCAGAGATTAGTTTTGTTTTTCAACTTTTTAAACTTTCACAGCGGCCGGTATCCCCGTGTTCAACTACTACGGCTATTGGTTGAAGTTTGATGACTATATCTACAAATGGAGTGACAACAACTCCATGTAAAGATGCTGATGTAAAGAAGCTTTTCATTGATCAGGCTGATATCAGTGAAATAAAATATCACATTTAGGATAATTAGTGTTGCTTTGGCGTCATTTACCAATAGTTTTAGGTAGTTCTTTTAACATTTTACTAGTAGAGTGGGGGGGGGGGGGAAGCAGGCGTTGTTACTGAAATAGCAGTATAAACAAAAAGTGATATTCGTCGCCTAGGGTAGACCGAGGTACAGGATTAAGTCCGAGTAAAGACACTTTAAACCCAACGGGTTCCGAACCTACCATTCCACCTCTGTCTACCCTAGATGTTTAAATATCACTTTCTGTTTATATTGCTATTTCTTTAACATTCTACTGAATCATAAATCATACAACTAGCTAAATTATGCGATCATAAAACTAGCATGTTATCATTCCTCAACTGCAAAACTCAACTGGATCACTTGTTAAATTTTATATAGTATAGGTGGATAAAAAAATTTGTTTTTGATTGTGGGATGTGAACTATAAATAGATTTCATTCTTAGTCACTGGGCAGACGATCAGATGTGATTGTGAATGGGCTCAACAGTTTTGAACAAAATCACGTTAAAAAATCCTTGTTTTGAGCGACTATTAATAGATGGGTTATTTAAAAAACATAACCAGTTTCGTTAAGAAAACAAACAGGATAAAATGTATTTTATTGAGCATGTAAAAACTGAACCGTTTCTGTTTAGTCTGTAGCTGCTTATGAGAAATAATTTTGTTTAACAAGATTCATAGATGATGAGGTATAAGTACAACAAGGGGGGAAGGGAGAGAGAGAAGAAAAAAAAAACATAGTCAAAGAAATAATACTGATACAGCAGTTATGATTATGAAATGGGGAGATGAAAATTTGTGCTCACATTAACACATAATAAGCAACAATTTTATTTAACCCTGTAAATCCAGATTTATCAACAAGAGTTACCATAACTTGTAAAAGAAAAAAGCTTAAGAGTTATTGGTCCTTTTAAAACCAGAATTCTCAAGAGTTATTGGTCCTTATAAAACCAGAATTCTCAAGAGTTATTGGTCCTTGGTCCTTATAAAACCAGAATTCTCAAGATATATTGGTCCTTGTAAAACCAGAATTCTCAAGAGTTATTAGTCCTTATAAAACCAGAATTCTCAAGAGTTATTGGTCCTTATAAAACCAGAATGCTCAAGTGTTATTGGTCCTTGTAAAACTAGAATGCTCAAGACTTATTGTTCCTACCAAATTGGTAAAAAAAAATTTGGTCACCTTTACCATTAAGGTTTCTGTGCTATGTAAAGCTCAAAAACATGATAACATACCCAGTAGAAACCAAACAAGTAAGAAGAAAAAAAAATTAGAGATGATCTATTCATTATCTCTAGAAACTGATGAATAAAATGTTGATTGGTTCAACACAAACACACAATGCCCAAAAAGCCAGGACAAGACCAAACACCATAACCCTCTCACAGGGTCTTGCCATTGTATACAGTAACTGGTGTGGCCTGTCTGAACTGTAGAGGTGAATCTACACAATTTGATAGGATTTGATTAGCTTCAAGCTTTGCCAAATCTATACTTCATCACTGATATGTAGAGTAGGTGTACTACATCTATACTTCAGTAATGGTCAAGTAGGTCCATTGCATCCATACTTCATTACTGATATGTAGAGTAGGTGTACTGCATCTATACTTCAATAACGGTCAAGTAGGTACATTGCATCCATACTTCATTACTGATATGTAGAGTAGGTGTACTACATCTATACTTCAGTAATGGTCAAGTAGGTCCATTGCATCCATACTTCATTACTGATATGTAGAGTAGGTGTACTACATCTATACTTCAATAATGGTCAAGTAGGTCCATTGCATCCATACTTCATTACTGATATGTAGAGTAGGTCAACTACATCTATACTTCAATAATGGTCAAGTAGGTCCATTGTACCTATTCTTCATTACTGATATGTAGAGTAGGTCTATTGCATCTATACTTCAACATTGATATATAGCACAAAATCACTAACCAACATGTGTAAAATTGATGAATCCCTAAGAAACCAAAAAATAATATAAGATCTAGCATAGAGAACTTTTATCTAGAGGCACGTATGGCAAGTCTGTCTGCGTCTTTATGCTGGCCCTTGTGATGGTGTCCGGCACTGCGCTGGCAGACAGCAGGGACAGGTAGGCCGCCCACAGGCCGTTCTTGATGCACACGTCTGCTGGGTCACCTGCCAACATGCCAGCCACAACTGTAGCCGCAAGGCTGGAACAAAACATATTGATACGGGTTAAAGTTAAAGCTATAAACCTGGTGTGAGTGGGTGGACACAGACGTTAGACTGATGAAACAATACAAGCTGTAAGCCAAGTTAGGGTTAAAGCTACAAGCCTGATGTGAGTGGACATAGACGTTGTTAGACTGATGAAACAATACAAGCTGTAAGTCAAGTTAGGGTTAAAGCTATAAGCCTGGTGTGAGTGGGTGGACACAGATGTTGTTAGACTGAAACAATACAAGCTGTAAGTCAAGTTAGGGTTAAAGCTATAAGCCTGATGTAAGTGGGTGAACACAGATGTTGTTAGACTGAAACAATACAAGCTGTAAGTCAAGTTAGGGTTAAAGCTATAAGCCTGATGTAAGTGGGTGAACACAGATGTTGTTAGACTGAAACAATACAAGCTGTAAGCCAAGTTAGGGTTAAAGCTATAAGCCTGGTGCAAGTGGGTGGACACAGATGTTGTTAGACTGATGAAACAATACAAGCTGTAAGCCAAGTTAGGGTTAAAGCTACAAGCATGATGTAAGTGGGTGGACACAGATGTTGTTAGACTGAAACAATACAAGCTGTAAGCCAAGTTAGGGTTAAAGCTATAAGCCTGGTGCAAGTGGGTGGACACAGATGTTGTTAGACTGATGAAACAATACAAGCTGTAAGCCAAGTTAGGGTTAAAGCTACAAGCCTGATGTGAGTGGACATAGACGTTGTTAGACTGATGAAACAATACAAGCTGTAAGCCAAGTTAGGGTTAAAGCTACAAGCCTGGTGCAAGTGGGTGGACACAGATGTTGTTAGACTGATGAAACAATACAAGCTGTAAGCCAAGTTAGGGTTAAAGCTACAAGCCTGATGTGAGTGGACATAGACGTTGTTAGACTGATGAAACAATACAAGCTGTAAGTCAAGTTAGGGTTAAAGCTATAAGCCTGATGTAAGTGGGTGAACACAGATGTTGTTAGACTGAAACAATACAAGCTGTAAGTCAAGTTAGGGTTAAAGCTATAAGCCTGATGTAAGTGGGTGAACACAGATGTTGTTAGACTGAAACAATACAAGCTGTAAGTCAAGTTAGGGTTAAAGCTATAAGCCTGATGTAAGTGGGTGAACACAGATGTTGTTAGACTGAAACAATACAAGCTGTAAGTCAAGTTAGGGTTAAAGCTACAAGCCTGATGTAAGTGGGTGGACACAGATGTTGTTAGACTGAAACAATACAAGCTGTAAGTCAAGTTAGGGTTAAAGCTACAAGCCTGATGTAAGTGGGTGGACACAGATGTTGTTAGACTGAAACAATACAAGCTGTAAGCCAAGTTAGGGTTAAAGCTACAAGCCTGATGTAAGTGGGTGGACACAGATGTTGTTAGACTGAAACAATACAAGCTGTAAGTCAAGTTAGGGTTAAAGCTATAAGCCTGATGTAAGTGGGTGAACACAGATGTTGTTAGACTGAAACAATACAAGCTGTAAGTCAAGTTAGGGTTAAAGCTACAAGCCTGATGTAAGTGGGTGGACACAGATGTTGTTAGACTGAAACAATACAAGCTGTAAGCCAAGTTAGGGTTAAAGCTACAAGCCTGATGTAAGTGGGTGGACACAGATATTGTTAGACTGAAACAATACAAGCTGTAAGCCAAGTTAGGGTTAAAGCTACAAGCCTGATGTAAGTGGGTGGACACAGATGTTGTTAGACTGAAACAATACAACCTGTAAGCCAAGTTAGGGTTAAAGCTACAAGCATGATGTAAGTGGGTGGACACAGATGTTGTTAGACTGAAACAATACAAGCTGTAAGCCAAGTTAGGGTTAAAGCTACAAGCCTGATGTAAGTGGGTGGACACAGATGTTGTTAGACTGAAACAATACAAGCTGTAAGCCAAGTTAGGGTTATTGCTATAAGCCTGATGTAAGTGGGTGGACACAGATGTTGTTAGACTGAAACAATACAAGCTGTAAGCCAAGTTAGGGTTATTGCTATAAGCCTGATGTAAGTGGGTGGACACAGATATTGTTAGACTGAAACAATACAAGCTGTAAGCCAAGTTAGGGTTATTGCTATAAGCCTGATGTAAGTGGGTGGACACAGATGTTGTTAGACTGAAACAATACAACCTGTAAGCCAAGTTAGGGTTAAAGCTACAAGCCTGATGTAAGTGGGTGGACACAGATGTTGTTAGACTGAAACAATACAAGCTGTAAGCCAAGTTAGGGTTAAAGCTACAAGCCTGATGTAAGTGGGTGGACACAGATGTTGTTAGACTGAAACAATACAAGCTGTAAGCCAAGTTAGGGTTATTGCTATAAGCCTGATGTAAGTGGGTGGACACAGATGTTGTTAGACTGAAACAATACAAGCTGTAAGCCAAGTTAGGGTTATTGCTATAAGCCTGATGTAAGTGGGTGGACACAGATGTTGTTAGACTGAAACAATACAAGCTGTAAGCCAAGTTAGGGTTATTGCTATAAGCCTGATGTAAGTGGGTGGACACAGATGTTGTTAGACTGAAACAATACAAGCTGTAAGCCAAGTTAGGGTTATTGTTATAACCTGATGTGAATGAGAGGATGCAGGAGCTGTGGCAGGGATAGCAACATTAGACATAACAGGGTTATTTTAGTGCCCCAATGACACAAGGGATAAAAGAACCATCTCTGTAAAGAGATAGGTAGATGGGATATGTGACCACAGCATCATACAGGCTAGGATAGTGCCTGTAAAGTTTGAGGAATTGAAATAATTATAACAAAGTAATATTGATATCCAGAGTTGACAATACTCACTAATATTGATATAGCACTGTAATATTTATTTTTATTTAAACCACTACAAAATGATACACAAAAGAAAAATTGTGTTGGGTATAACAATTAGATGAATTAAAGGGCAACAACCAGCGTAAAGGAGGCTTAGTAAAACAACTCAGCATTTTATCTGGGATAACACAAACACTGCCATAAACTGTAACCAAACTTAGCTAGTAAAAATATTTTATGATGTCTTTTGTTACGCCTGGTATCCTGGGAGAGTAAAATTATTCTTGTGACTACAGCCAAATGTGTACAGGTAAAGTAGAGTAGTCTCACTAGCTACTGAGCTGTTACTAGTCAAATGTGTACAGGTAAAGTAGAGTAGTCTCACTAGCTATTGAGCTGTCACTAGTCAAATGTGTACAGGTAAAGTAGAGTAGTCTTACCAGTCACGAGGCGCTGAGCTGTGACTACAGTCTAATGTGTACAAGTAAAGTAGAAAAGTCTTACCAATCACCAGCTCCTGAGACGCTAACAATTCTAGAAGGTTCCATGTCCTTGCTGAACCCTGGGTAATATGTAGCTGAGAATGTGTTCTGTGGGAAAGTAGAGGAAAACTTGTTAAATTCCAAGCGTTAGATTGTTTCTTATCAATTTGTGATTTATGCTTTTTAAATTAGTAGAGACCTACCCTGCTTCTGTTGTCTAATGGTAGGGGAAGCAACTGCTGAATGTTGCCTAGACTGTGACAGAGTAGCACACCATGGCGCCCTAGGGTCAGTAAAACTACTGGAATGTGTTTGACCAAATGCCGGCACATGGGAACAGATATCTCCAAAATCTCATCCAGGCTTGAGGACTCCTCCGAAATGTTTACTAAAAAAACATTTTGTAAGCCAAAAAATTTTTTCTACATTATGAAAATGGTAAAATTAAATAAATATTTACAAATGTGAGCGGGTGAATGGATTATTTATTTTGTATTATTTTATTTGTTGCGAATCTGGGAGTGCATGGTGGTCCAATGGGGAACGGCACGGAGTCCCCTTCCGTCCGAAGCGGTCAGTATAAATTGACCGCTCGGAGTGATTTTCTTCCTTTTTTTGACCCGCGGCGAGATGTAGGTCGGGTCAGGTTTCTGCGTGGCGCACCGCACGCGTGGAGGTATTTGTTTTTTTATACTTTATCTTTATGTGATTTGTATGAATGCGACTGTCGATGTTTCTCGTTTTCTTTCATTTTCGTCTAAAACGAGATAGTGAGCATCGGCATGTCTGGTATGCACGTGGTGTGTTATTTTGTTATTTTGAATTAAAATGTATTTTTGATGTTTTCTAAACCCTTGGCGTGTGTTTCGGACCACGTGGTTTAGGCCAGTGTGTTTAGGAGTGTTTCCTAAACTAGTGTGAATGCGTGTGTGCATTTACTTGATTGTTTTATGATGTGTTGTTATTGACTAGGATTGGCTTAGTCAATAGTCAGTTGGTTAGACAGTAATTAGATTAGTATATTTTAGTTGCCTCGAGTTTTTAGGTTGTTTAAAATTAATGTGTGTGCTGTTTCGTGCAACGTCATGTTGAGTATCGCTTGCTTTGTGTCTGCCTTCATTGGGGCCTTAGCGGAGTGTGTTAACTTTATGTTATCAATATAGATGTTGTTTATGTAGACTAATGGCTTCGGGCTGCTCCTTGTGTAGGAAAGATTGGTTCTACAATGAATTTGTTTACACGTTATTTTTAAGTTGCTAGTTCTTCTTTAGACAGTGGTTAGTTGTTTTTGAGAATTGCTTTTAGAATTGTATAGTAAGGATTAGTTTTACTCGAGGCTTTAGCTAGATAGTAGTAGTAGGTAGCATTTTGAACTTGTGTATATATTTATGTATATATCTGCCATTACCATGCATTTTTCTTATGTTTTCCTTTTTTTTTTCTCTTCCCCCCCCCCCTTCCAGTGAGGTTGCTTGTGCAACTTGGCTGGGTGTTTTGTTATATATGAATTGTTTTGTTTAGTGTAAAACGCTTGTGTGTACGTATTGTTTTCTACGTAATGTATTGTACGTAGTGGTTTTACGTAGTGTTTTGTTTGGTGTGGACTTTTGGATGTCGAGAATGGATGAAGGGAGGTTTCTGTGTGTCAGGGCCTGGACCATCCTAGACATCATAAGTCGGTGCAACACCAGCAAATGGTCGAACGTAATGTTTTGTTGTATATAAACTGTGTTGTTTGGTTTTGTTTTGTCTGTTTTGTGTATTCAGTAGTTTTTCCATTTTTTATTTTCATTGGTTCCATGAAATAAATTTTATTGAATTGTAAAAGTTTTTCTTTTTTTATTTAGACTAAGGTTAGGGTTTAACCACTGTGGGTTCTACCACGGTTGCACTGACCGGACAGTAGTTAAGTAGATAAGCCTAGGGAAGGGTAGGGTAGATTTTAAGGTATCCCCCCCCCCCCTAGCAGGGCTTACACAAAAAAATATTATTTAAAAAAAAAATTTTGATTAGATAAATTGCTGTAAATATTTTATTTAAGGTTTTAAAAAAAAATTATGTCAACGGTAGCAAATATTTTCACGACAGTTAATCAAACCTTCCATCTCCTTCTGACCCGTCTTTGCTAAAAAGCTTTGGTACATAGAGATGAGCTCTCCCAAATTAGGAGATATAAAGGTTAAATTTTTCCAGGCATCTGTTTCAAATGGGATTTTGGCTTTGAACAGGTCTGTAGGCTCAAACCAAACTGGAAGAATTTAAACAAGTGGTTGACTCAATTAAATTTATTTAATAATTGTAAAATTGTTTGAAAATAATATTGAAATTTTGAAAAATTTAAGTTAAAATCTTTAAAATGTATTATATTAGTAAAAAAAAAGAATCCTCTTTTGACTTTGCGTAGCTTTCAACTGTTTCTTGACCTTGTCATATGAAGGGAAGATGTGGTCAGCACTTTGCCCAGCCGCCTTTACTTTCCTTAAAGTGAGTTAGGTAGCCATCAGAGCTGGGTTAACTCAGGGACATTCCACTGACTTAAATTGGACCTGGATTTTAACTCTAGACTTTCGGGTATCCGTAATTTTGTGACGGTGTGTTATGAGGGGGGGGGGGGGGTTCAGATGGTGTGAAGTAACTTTTTGCATTGTAAAAAAGCTATGTTAGAAAATTAGTTTTAGCCGTTATTTTGCATTTTAGAAAACTGTTTTAATAAATTGTAATAGGAATTGATCAAAGTACTCTATGTTGACAGAGTTCTGGCAAGATTTTGGAAAAATATCGACGTTTTAAGAAAAATTCAACAGCAATTTTGAGTTTTGAGGGGGGGTTGTAGGCTGAGGTGTGACGTCATTTTAGGGGGATCTGGCTTTATGTGACGACGTGACGGGGGGGGGGGGGGGGTAAAAATCGTCAAAAAAAAGCGTGACGTCATTTAAGGATGACCCCTTATAATAGTTTTGATACATTCAATTTGACCCACCTGGTACAGAAAATTTGGCACATTTAGTAACAACAGAGTGAATGACTTGAGGCGTAAAGTTTCCATCTAGCACGACAATAGGTGCTGATTCAAGCAGAGATTCAAAATTTTTCACCTAAAGGTTAAAGACAAATGCAAAAAATCTACTTCTTTATAAAAGAACAAGAGTATAATTTTTTTAGAGATTTCCAAACACCCAATGAAAAAATAAGCTCAAGGTATTAAATTATTTATCAGATTTATGCCTTTATTTAAAATGTTATAAATACCTGAACCAACTTACATGATCAATGTCAAATTTAAAGTTGATGTCCATGTCCCCAATACCCAACAGAAACTTGCCCTGGGACAGGAGGACATAGCAGGAGGCTGTGGACATCTCTGGAACTTTTTGTACTGAACTCAGATCCTGGGTTAGAAGTACTGGGTGAAATCATTCATAAAAACAAAAACATGCTTCATTAATTACAATTACTGGGTGAAATCATTCATAAAAACAAAAACACGCTTCATTAATTACAATTACTGGGTGAAATCATTCATAAAAACAAAAACACCCTTTATCAAACCATATATAAATATATCAAAAATTATTTTATTACTTCAATTCATAAATTAATACAATTATTAACTTTGTATATACATATTTGTACATCATTATTAAAATATTTTACCAAATATCCTTTTGTTTTTTAACTAATTTTCTTTTTTTTTTTTCTTTTTCACAAAATCACAATATTTATCTGACCATGTGAAAGCAATATAAAATTGTAATTTCTTATTTTGAAATAATTTAGATTAAGAGAACAACATAATAAGTATAATAATTTACAGCGTTGACATTTTAAAATTAACCAGTAATTACTATTACAACTAGTTACAAAATAACTAAAAACTATGTAGATAATCAATTCAAAACTATTCTATTGTAGTTAAATAATTGTTGCACATTTTCAAACATACTGAAAATTGTCTCTTATTTTAAAGAAATAAATTTTGTCAAAGTCAATAAAAAAAAATCTAAAACAAAACGAATCTCAGGAAAAAAATGAACAAAAAAATGTCTATGCCAACAAATCTAACAGCCAACAGAAACCAATGACCAATACCTTTTAACATACTCCAAATGGTGTGATTTTGTCCCACTCACCAACCTGACATACATATTTATGTTTATGTTTGGTTCGTAACAAAGAAAGATATTTAAAAAAAGATATCAAAACTACATAAACCCCATGCTGAATTTTTTTTTATTTTAGAGTGAAAAAAATGTGAAAAAACATTTTTTATATTTAAAAAAAACAGCGTTATGTTAGTATATTTAGTAACTTTTATAGATAGCGATATGGGACGGTGTGGTCTAACATTAGAACACTAGACTGATAACCCGAAAGTCTTGGGTTCAAATCCGAGTCCACACAGCTTTGATTGGTACCCAAATTACGTAAGAGAGTAATTGGCAGCTATCAAATTCTTTTCTTCCCGTTAACAGGCAATTTTGTAATTAAATAATGACTTCTATATATAAAAGAAAAAAGGTTGTCTCACCATGTGGCCACAAAAGGCTGACATTGCAGAGGAATGTGAGTCATTTCCTACTGCAGATAAAAAAACTGGATTGTATTCTAAGCGACTCAAACAATCAGCCAAGTTTCTGCCTACACCACCATAGGACTGCGACACTTTGCCTGGATATGTGCCACCATTTAGCTGACGAGGGTTAAAACAAACAGGTTTAAACATATGGCATGTTATTTATTGTCAGTGTTCAGTCTTACCAAATTAAACAAAAGAGTAATTAAATTTTTGCTACAGTAAATTTAAAAGCTTAAACTATAACTGCTGGTACAAATAAATTAATAATTAATAAATTTCTTGACGGTAGCAACTGACCTGAAATTTAGGGTCATTAACTTGGACACTGTAATCCACAACAGTCGACCCAATCACAATCTAGACATTAAAATAGAAACAGTTGACCCAATTACAATCTAGACATTAAAATAAAAACAGTTGATTCAATCACAATCTAAACATTCAAATAGATACAATTGACCCACTCACAATATATACACTAAAAAATGATGAAAAAAAAATCAGGTACAAAATAATCTTTTTTTTTCAATAAAATTTAAATATATTTTCAAAATTTTGTCTAGGGGATTACATGATTGTGTAAACTATATTTTAAAACAGAACTCTTCACCTACAGGCCTACCACAAAGTTTACTTTTATCACATGTGGGCACACTGTCTGAAGGCAAGTTTTTCTTCAACTTGTTGGCTGAGTCCTCTAAGGCAGACTTGAGAGCAGGGGACGACAGGAGTGAACAGGAAGTTGTCTGAGGGGGTGTGGCTATCTGCTCTAAGGGGACACCACTCTCAAGTTGGGACAGACAAAGGGCAATCCCAGCAGCCACAGAGGCATTGTTTTCTACAAGAGCTATGTCTACACAAGGGTTAAGGAAATTATTTTTCAACCTTACAAAACTCAAACTGAGCCTAAAGTTACAGTTAAATCACTTAAAATGACTATGTTGGATTGCAACAACTATAGTAGATTTAACCCCTCCATAGAATTTTAATAAATTAATATCTTTGATGTTAAATGGAATAAGGTGAAAGACTAAAAATCTGTCATCAATGAAGTCCTAGAACAGAGTGACAAAGGATACTGGCTACAAGAGATTCCCCCTCTGTTAATTCATTTATCGTCTTCAGGACGTAAGGTGTGACTTCCTTGCCAGTTACGTTGTTTTTTCTGAAAGTAAAATGTTTTTGACATAGTTATAGTAGGCCTACAGATTCAAGGATAAAATGAAAAAGGAATGTCTTTTGGTGAAGTTACTAGTAAATTTTGTCGTAAAATTCACCATAATAACTTTTTAAATCGGTAGCATTAAAAGCAGCACTACAAAAAACAATTCACAGCTATGAACATAATCGTATGTTGAAACAATAATTTAGGGATTTGTGAACACTAACAATGTCAAAAAGAGAGATAACTACCTAGCCAGTTCATGAGCTTCATTAATTGCATGTTGGATTATCTCCCCTGTAGCTGCAAACTCTGCAGGGATGGGCACAGCAACTAGAGTTCCACTGGTCAGTCCAAACTTGAGCTGGGTATCTGAAGATATTAGAATATTTTTTAGTGAGACCAAACTTGAGCTGGGTATCTGAAGATATTAGAATATTTTTTAGTCAGACCAACTAGAGTTCCATTGGTCAGTCCAAACTTGAGCTGGGTATCTGGAGATATTACAATATTGAAGATATTTGACATGAGGATTTTTTTTATATGTATTGATCAGATCAGATATTTAGACCTTAAGATATTTCAAAGGTATTTTATTTTAAGTTGAAAATCTGGCTAATAAGCATACTAGCTATGCACCAAGGGCATGCAAAAAAAAAGGATTTGTAAAGATTTTGTAAAATATATCCAATTGAATTGGCCATTTTTGATGTATTTGTATATATATTAACCCTTATGTACAACATTTCTGTACACATTTTCTGCAATCATAGAAGAATCTTAAACAATCTAAATATTTGAAGAATTCAGGTTTTATAGAGTCTAAAAAAATAAAACTACTGGTAAATGGATAAAATATTTTTCTTTTTATGATCTAAGCTTTTATTCACAGGTTGACTTGCAGATGTGGGCTAGCAAAAAGACAATAGAAAAAAAAATGATTAAAAAAACATTCCGGAAAGAAAAAACTTACTAATTAGCTGAGCAGCTTCCAGGTGTGTTTGCACATTGTAAGGTGACAAGCAGCCACTATCCGGTGAGAAGAATGCTGGGAAATTCTTGTCTTTGCCAAAGGTCACCACACACACACCTTGAGTTTCCTACAAGGTCAGGGACAATATTAGGTTCCACTATAAAAGGTTATAGGTCATATATTTGTGTGTACTAGCCACTCAATCCCTTCATGTCCTAAGGACAGAGTAGTAAATGTACACAACTATATCTGCACTTCTGATGATTAGTCCCAACACTTTTCAACAGAGCAAAGTTTTAAAATATAAAAACTTACACACTAATTTGAGACACTTGGTTAATTTCACTCACTCCCCCCCCCCCCCCAGATTTTAACAGAAGCTGATCCATAACAGGGCAATCAATCATATATCAAGAAAAAAGACACAGGACATACCAGGTATTCTAAAGTCTTGGGGATATCCAGGATAGACTTTATTCCAGAAGACACCACAGTAACAGGTGTGCGACCTAGTTCTGTTAAGTCTGCACTTATGTCAAAGCCTGGTCGTTTCAAATACATAAAATATTTAATTTGTACATATACATTTTTATAATTTGACTCTAAGTGTGCAGTTTAGAAAAAAAAATAAGTTTAATTAATAAACCAACTACAGTAAAATAGTATGTTAAAAAAGCACATAAAAATAAAATATGTTCTTTAAAACTGGTTTATTATGTGTGATGTTAAAAACATAGAGAAGAAAAACAAGAAGAAACTATCCCTACATCCAAACTTACTTGTCTCCGCCCCTATGTGGACTCCTCCCACTCCTCCAGCCCAACTTAATTGTCTCCGCCCATCAATAAATTGCCCCCACTTCAACATAAATTACTTCTTGTGCCCCTTTGTGGACTCCTTCACTCCACTGAAGCTTTCTTTCTCCGCCTCTATGATCACATTCTCCCACTCCACCATAAATTGTCTCTGACCCTATATGGACTCCTTCCACTCCACCCCAACTTACATGTCTCCTTCCATATGTGGACTCCTCCTACACCTCTATCGCACCGTACTCTGTCAACTCTTCTCACTCCATTATTCCAACTTACTTGTCTCCACCCCTCTATGGACTCCTCCCACTCCACCCCACCACTTACTTGTTTCCACCCCTCTATGGACACCTCCCACTCCACCCCAACTTACTTGTCTCCGCCCCTCTATAGCCACCTCTCACTCCTCCACCCCAACTTACTTGTCTCCGCCCCTCTATGGACACCTCCCACTCTTCCACCCCAACTTACTTGTCTCCTCCCCTCTATGGACACCTCTCACTCTTCCACCCCAACTTACTTGTCTCCGCCCCTCTATGGACGCCTCCCACTCTTCCACCCCAACTTACTTGTCTCCTCCCCTCTATGGACACCTCCCACTCTTCCACCCCAACTTACTTGTCTCCGCCCCTCTATGGACACCTCCCACTCCACCCCAACTTACTTGTCTCCTCCCCTCTATGGACACCTCCCACTCTTCCACCCCAACTTACTTGTCTCCGCCCCTCTATGGACACCTCCCACTCCTCCACCCCAACTTACTTATCTCCGCCCCTCTGTTGACACCTCCCACTTCACCATAACTTACTTGTCTCTGCCCCTCTGTGGACACCTCCCACTCCACCATAACTTACTTGTCTCCGCCCCTCTATGGACTCCTCCCACTCCTCCATAACTTACTTGTCTCCGCCCCTCTGTGGACACCTCCCACTCCTCCATATCTTAATTGTCTCCGCCCCTCTATGGACACCTCCCACTCCACCATAACTTACTTGTCTCCGCCCCTCTATGGACTCCTCCCACTCCACCATAACTTACTTGTCTCCGCCCCTCTGTGGACACCTCCCACTCCTCCACCCCAACTTACTTATCTCCGCCCCTCTGTTGACACCTCCCACTCCACCATAACTTACTTGTCTCCGCCCCTCTGTGGACACCTCCCACTCCACCATAACTTACTTGTCTCCGCCCCTCTATGGACTCCTCCCACTCCACCATAACATAATTGTCTCCGCCCCTCTATGGACACCTCCCACTCCACCATAACTTACTTGTCTCCGCCCCTCTATGGACTCCTCCCACTCCACCATAACTTACTTGTCTCCGCCCCTCTGTGGACACCTCCCACTCCTCCACCCCAACTTACTTGTCTCCGCCCTCTGTGGACACCTCCCACTCCTCCACCATAACTTACTTGTCTCCGCCCCTCTATGGACACCTCCCACTCCTCCTGTGGCAAAGATAGGAATCCCAGCTAGATGTGCAGCAATCATTGTCCCAGAAACTGTTGTTCCTCCACTTAAACCCTGAAAAATAAATATATTGTATTGCCACCATTTATTTATTTTAAACACTAAATAAATTACCAAACTTAAGGTTGTTATTATTCAGAATCTTTGGTTCTGTCAAAACTGCAAATAGGACTAAAATATAGCATTATGGTTTTTACTGTCTTTCCATAGTGCTGTTAGGATCGTAATTTTAATAATGTTTTGAGTGACAGGATTAGGGTTAGGGCATGGGTGTGGTACCCACCTGACTTAAGACATATGGTAGATCTCTCCGAGAAACTTTGATGAGGTTTGAATTTTTTTCTGCCAACAAGATCAGTTCTGTATCACACAGACCTGTACAGAAATGGGAACAAGTACAGGCACTTGTATTGTACAGGGACAAGTACAGGCACTTTTACAGGGACAAGTACAGGCACATGTAGAGGAACAAGTACAGGCACTTGTACAGGGACAAGTACAGGCACATGTACAGGGGCAAGTACAGGCACATGTGGAGGGACAAGTACAGGCACATGTAGAGGAACAAGTACAGGCACTTGTACAGGGACAAGTACAGGCACATGTACAGGGACAAGTACAGGCACATGTAGAGGAACAAGTACAGGCACTTGTACAGGGACAAGTACAGGCACATGTACAGGGGCAAGTACAGGCACATGGAGAGGGACAAGTACAGACACATGTACAGGAACAAGCAGTGGCGTAGCCAGGATCATCTCAAGGGGGGGGGGGGGGTCCAATTTTTACCCGGGGACAAACTTTCAATTTGCACCCCCCCTCCCTCAAACTTTCGATTTGCACCCCCCTCATACTTTTTATATATATACTGAGGGGTCTATGGGGGGGGGGGGTGGTTATGACCCCCCTAACCCCCACTGGGGACAAGAACAGGGACAAGTAGTCAAATTTTTCTGTAAACAGTGCAGAAAAAATACAAGTTCTACTGCAAAACAAAACAGAAAACACAAAATTTTGAACAGTAAATAATAATAATGTCAGCTACAACAGTGGAAGAAAGTAAATACATGATCAGGCAAACTATGTGAGGAATTAAATTAAATGAAAACATGGCCCACCAACATAATAAAAACATGGCCCACCAACATAATGAAAACATGGCCTACCAACATAATGAAAACATGGCCTAACAACATAATGAAAACATGGCCCACCAACATAATGAAAACATGGCCCACCAACATAATGAAAACATGGCCCACTTGCATAATGAAAACATGGCCCACCAACATAATGAAAACATGGCCCACCAACATAATGAAAACATGGCCCACCAACATAATGAAAACATGGCCCACCAACATAATGAAAACATGGCCCACCAACATAATGAAAACATGGCCCACCAACATAATGAAAACATGGCCCACCAACATAATGAAAACATGGCCCACCAACATAATGAAAACATGGCCTACCAACATAATGAAAACATGGCCCACCAACATAATGAAAACATGGCCCACCAACATAATGAAAACATGGCCCACCAACATAATGAAAACATGGCTCACCAACATAATGAAAACATGGCCTAACAACATAATGAAAACATGGCCCACCAACATAATGAAAACATGGCCCACCAACATAATGAAAACATGGCCCACTTGCATAATGAAAACATGGCCCACCAACATAATGAAAACATGGCCCACCAACATAATGAAAACATGGCCCACCAACATAATGAAAACATGGCCCACCAACATAATGAAAACATGGCCCACCAACATAATGAAAACATGGCCCACAAACATAATGAAAACATGGCCTACCAACATAATGAAACCATGGCCTACCAACATAATGAAACCATGGCCTACCAACATAATGAAAACATGGCCCACCAACATAATGAAAACATGGCCCACCAACATAATGAAAACATGGCTCACCAACATAATGAAAACATGGCCCACCAACATAATGAAAACATGGCCCACCAACATAATGAAAACATGGCCCACCAACATAATGAAAACATGGCCCACCAACATAATGAAAACATGGCCCACCAACATAATGAAAACATGGCCCACCAACATAATGAAAACATGGCTCACCAACATAATGAAAACATGGCCCACCAACATAATGAAAACATGGCCCACCAACATAATGAAAACATGGCCCACCAACATAATGAAAACATGGCCCACCAACATAATGAAAACATGGCCCACCAACATAATGAAAACATGGTCCACCAACATAATGAAAACATGGCCCACCAACATAATGAAAACATGGCCCACCAACATAATGAAAACATGGTCCACCAACATAATGAAAACATGGCCCACCAACATAATGAAAACATTGCCCACCAACATAATGAAAGCATGGCCCACAAACATAATGAAAACATGGCCCACCAACATAATGAAAACATGGCCCACCAACATAATGAAATCATGGCCCACCAACATAATGAAAACAAGGCCCACCAACATAATAAAAGCATGGCCCACCAACAAAATAAAAGCATGGCCTACCAACACAGAGTTTCCCGTTCAAAACAGCTACTGTAGCAGGGACCGCTCCATTTTCTCTGACCCTTCTCTCCACACTCAAGGCTGTGCTGTGGTCAAAGTTATAAATAATTACGTGGTGTGCCTAAAAAAATGGTGTAATTCTTCTTAAACAAAGTTATACAAGACTAAATACAAAACACCCTGTTCTTATGAAAATAAATTACTGGTAGGACAACAATTCAGAATTTATATTAATTTTTTATTCTGCCAGTATCACTGAAAGGATAATCTTCTTCTTCTTCTTCGTTCTTAATTATTAGTGTTGAAGGAGATTTATCTGCCAGTGGGTTTGAACTCGAGACTTTGTTCGCATTTATCAACCATGAGCTTTTTGCCGACTCGACCAAGCCTACAACACAATTAAGCGGTACGTGTCAACTGGTTATGCGCCATTGAGGCCATTGACTCCAATTTCAGCCTGCTTTTCTTTTTGGATTTGCTTCCATAGCCTTTGTCCAACCAAGAACAAACTACAAGGCAGCAGTTGTTTTAATTTTGGAGTTGTCTCTCCTAGAAGAGTGGCTGTCCCCAGCTAACGAGCCTCATCTGCCCGAGGGTTCGAACTCGAGACTTTTCGGTTTAGCAACCATGAGCTTTACCGAAAATATCTATCAAGTTGAGATTTTGTTTTTTTTTAATGCTTTTCATGCTCTTTTTAAAAACATATTAAATATTTTAAAATCTTAATTTTTAAATCCTTCATTTTTAGTCAAGTAATGTTTACACTGTTTATATTTTACGGACAGAATATATGAAAAAAAAAAAAGACAAGAAAAAAATTCAAAATAGAAAGTTCCACACAACACTGGGAAAGAACACAAGTTTGGGATACAAATTTAAAGTTGAAAGTGCACGTATTTTGCAACAAAAGTTTATTTTGCGGGTGCAATTATGGTGCTACAAACCTAAAATTGTGAGGGTATGGCATGCCATGGGTGATTATGGTACTTTCCAAAGCTACAACAGGCTTTCTGGCATGTATTGCTTCCCTAACTTCATCTGACACTCTGATAAAATCTGGCCATCAAAAATATGCTGTGATTAGTGAATAACTACATACTATCTATAACAAAATTCTGCTTAAGACTATGAATAGATTATTTAAGTTCACAATTTAAATAAGCCAAATTAATTAAATTGAATTTGTTTCACAATCAACAATCCACAGGCATATAAAAGCAAAAATAAATGCAAATTTAAAAAAAAGCATTATGGAACATATTTCGAGTAACTTTCAGTCCAGGCCTTTTATGCATTCGAACTATAGCATATTAAAAGTAAAATTAATCAAGATGGTGTGTTATGAAGACATGCTTTGAGCAGAATTATTTTATTTGTGGGGGCTGAATTAAAATCATAAAAGTAAACCATGAAATGAGTCAGAAAGTTTCAAGAGCTATGAGCTTACTGTTACATGAAGCATTCACTTGGCTAAACATCTTTGTATCTCTGTATAGCAGACATTTGTGGAGGCAGTTTCTCACAACATGCCTCTGTTTCAACATCTTGATTCAATTTGATGTTTTTTCTTGCAGGTCTAATTGAAGTGAGAAAACAAATTAAACAATATCTAACATTAGGAATCTACAAATCTGTGGAAATTTCAAACATAAATAAAAACTATTTCACTTACTAGACCTACTAAATGTTGGAGCTGAGGTATTGATTTTTCATTAATTGAAGGGGATATATGTAAGAAAGATATTAAAAAAAACACAGAAATTCTGATTTTTTTTTGTCATATTGGGTTTTGTGAATTTTTGTATTCTTGGTCCGTTTCTTTACTCAGAAAATAAGAACTTAAATGAGAAAAAAAAATTCTAAAGTTTAAAAAAAATGTTATGACCCTGTATATGAAAAAAATATATAGGTAGGCTACAATCAAAGCTTTCATTACAAATTGTAAAGAAATTATATTTTCCAGACTGAGATTGAGAAAAACAGTTAAATCAACAGGTTTAACTGTTTTTCTCAGTTTGCTAAAAAGCCTAACCCTACTACTTTTTTATTTTTTATACAACTAATATACTGGAATAATTATGCATATATGCTTTTCAATTGCCGATTATATAATTACAATGACTTTTTACCTAGAAGATGTTTCCAAACCCTAATTTAAAGCATATGAAAACTATGCCCATTTTTTTCCTAATTATTTCAGTGTTTGGTATGAGAATGAATGTTAGAAATCCACACAAAATTAGACGAAAATTCATTTTTAATTAATATTATTTCAAACCATTAACAATAGTGTCTATTGGGCCTAAAAGACACAAAGATGGAATTATAGAGACCATATTTTGAAACTAGACACGATGTAGCTCATCTGCTAAACTACAAGCTTTTAATTATAATATTGCTGCTATAATCAATATGTAAATAACGAAATATAAAAAAAGAGTGCCATTCTGAAACTAGTTTTCTAGAACCCACTTAACACTTCAAACTAATAACTAGTCTACCTTGCTACCTTGTGAACTAGTGAGTAGAACTAAAATAAGCCTAGAGATCTTAAGTCTAGGCTATTAATAAAATTAGTAATAAATAACTGTAAGGGCCTACTTCACATTGGTAGTGGCTAGAACTAGACCTACTCACTTAGAATAGATCTTGCTAGATCTAACTAATGGATAAGAACAGTGCCTTTTTTTAATTTATAAAACCAAGTTAATGGACCCAAATATTTCTAAATTATTCAAAAGGCCCATTAATTTATTTTTAAAATCATGTTAGACGTTATTAAAATAAATATTGTTATAAAATATGTATGGTTTTTGAAAGGCTTTACTAAAAAATTGATGTAGGCCTATATAACTATATAATGATTTTAAAACTAAACAGCAAAATAATAATTTAGTTGTTCTTATTTTGTCACAGAAAATGTAAATAATTAGAATCTAAATCTATCGCATTTCTATCCTATGCCATGTGGTTTAAAAACATATGGATCTAATTCTACTTTTAAATTTATCCACAAAGTTTTGAAAGTGGGGTTTAGATTTAACATTTACAGAAGATCGATTGCATGATCTTTCTCTTTCAAAAGACAATGAAATAGTATGATCTATGAATGGTTTTGGGCTTGATGAAAATCAACATAAATGTAGCCTTTTTATACAATGTCAATATACATCTATATATATAATTCTCTTCTGGGATCAGTTAGAAAACAAGCTGCAAGCGCGCCTTTGCAGTCCCCTCTCTTCCTCTCTATCGCTATCACTACCACCCCCACCCCACCCCCACATGATCTGGTGAGCGGTGTTCACTCTGTTTACATTTTACAATCATAGAGACAGTTTGGTGACGGCTATTAGGGGCAGATAATTGAGTTTGAAACGATTTTAAACTTAGAGGAGGTAACTAAGAGGAGCTGCTTTGGGGGGTTAGTGTTTTTAAGCAAATATTTTCAATGGCAGCATTGGTACTGTCGAATTCACAAATTATAAATTACTGAAAAGTAGAAAAAAAAACAACTAAATAGCGGCGTATGATACGCAGCGGGTCGGCTCGTATTACTATAATACTAGTTCTCAACATTTGCAACTTTCATCAATATTCAATCAATAAGCTTAAGTTTTTTTTTTCTATTATTATCAGAGTCTATATATAAATATTATTTTATTATGGCCACAATGAAACACAATTTTTTAATGTATTCATGATTAGTCATTACTAAATACTAAATACTAGTAAATACTAATGGTTAGTCAATAAGTCAATAATTATTAATTAATAATGAAAATTATTTTATAATAATAATATTTTAATATTTTGATGGAAGGTTCTCATTTAATGTAGATTGTTGTAGATCTAGATCTACACTAACTGAACTGCAACTCTGATTTTTAACAAAAAAATTTCATTTAGCCCTAGAAAATAAGAAATCTAGATCTAGATTCACTGAGTGCTGAGTTGCTGTACTGAAGTGTACTGACTGTGTGTCAGTAGGCTACTCAACTGTACTGTGTAGTCACTGTAGTAGTGTGTAGTGTGTGTAGATCTTTAAATTAAAGTTAACTAACTGTTGCTGTACGACTGTACGTAGTACTAGTATAGACTCACTTCTTAACTAATAATAACTAGAGATCTAGATCTAGATTCTAGATCTAGATCAGACTCTGATGAGTCTCAGAGTCGGTGACACAGTCACTCACAGTGACAATACTTTCTCCAGTGTGTTAATGATAAATATTAAATATGCAGTGTAGAGAAAGACAATTAAGAATTTACTAATTTTAACGTTGGACACCACATAATATTATATTAGATCTAAATACAGGTAACGATAAATCAGGGCTAGATCTAGATCTACTACTGACTCTACTGCTACCTCGGCTGTTTTACTACTCGTACTTACATTTTAGTTTATGACAGTCACTAGCAGTTTTTATTCTTGATCCATAAATTTTCTTACTAGGCCATCATCTGATTCTGATCTTTTAATTTATTTAGATCACGTAGCTAGGCCTAACCCGTAAGTCTTGGGATATAAGGCAGTAGAACATCCCTGAGGGGTACCCTATTTTTCTTCCAGACTTTTTTCTCCGGTGGGGGGGGGGGGGGGGGGGGGGGGGGGGGGGACTTGAAATTTTCGGGAGGGGGAGGACTTAAATTACCGGAGGAGGCGGACACTTAAACTTTCTATATACATTCCATTTCGTTCGAGGGGGGGGGGGGGTCCCGAAGAGAAACTCTGGGGGTACCTAACTAATAGGAAGGGAAGAAAGGGCTGTTAGATGTGCTGACTAATGTTTCTTCTAGGTATCTCTTCTGCTTCCGCCCTCTTCCCCGAGAAAAAAGCCTGGAAGAATAAAAGTGCTGACCACATATCCTTAAGCCAAGATCTTTGGCCAATCAATGCGATAGATTGACCTTGTTTCTCCAACCCATTTCCCAGTTTTTATGTTTAAGACAAGCTTATGTGTTCAAGTGTAATAGAGGTAATCTAAAATTTGATCAAGTCGCCCCACGATACAACCTCACATGGAACTTGTGTAAAGAAATTGTTCATGGCTTTGATAATCCCTCAACATTGCCTTGAGCTTAAAATAAGTTAAAATGTATTTCTACCCAATGTTCCTTATGCTTAAGTTTCTAATTATAATATATTGCCATAAGAAAAAAATAAAAATAATACCAAAAGTAAATTAAAAGCTTTATTTTACACTAAGAACATTTTTACATAATAAATAAAACATTTTTCCTCCTGAACTCTTTTCTGTGCAATTTTGACTGTAAAAGCCACCTAGACCACGAAATTAAAATGAGCTGAGTCAGCTTCTTAATTGGCATAAAACTAAAAATTGCAGCAAAATCTTTGCTACGATAATGTGGACAGTCTTTTTTAGACTTCTGAGAGCTTTCGCAAAATCTGTTTCGAGCTATGAAGTAAATTTCATCATCTCTTATTCATTTCTTCTTGGCTGCAGCCTTTGTGACTTTACCGGCGGCGGCATCTTCCTTGATAACAGACTTGATGACACCCACAGCTACTGTTTGTTTCATGTCACGGACAGCAAAGCGACCAAGGGGTGGGTACTCCTGGAAAGCCTCCACGCACATAGGTTTGCTTGGGACCAAGTCAACCATGGCAGCATCTCCAGATTTAACAAACTTGGGATTGTCTTCCAGCTTTTTGCCTGAACGACGATCACATTTCTCCTTGATTTCAGCAAACTTGCAGGCAATGTGGGCAGTGTGACAGTCCAACACTGGTGCATAGCCATTCTTGATCTCACCAGGGTGGTTCAGAATGATGACCTGCCAATACAAATAACCTTAGAGTTAGAAAAACTACAACATTTTTAATGATCAGAGAGTACAGGATAGAATGCACATATTTATCTAGTGGCTCCTACCCTGATGTGATTGATTTAAAAAATTATGGAAATTACTTTAACTATTACCCCCACAAGAAAACCTTGTAAAATCAATTAGTCTGCACACAAACACCCAAACCTACCTGAGCATGGAACTGCTTGGTGGCCTTTGGTGGATCATTTTTGCTGTCACCAGCAACGTTGCCTCTTCTGATTTCTTTGACAGAGACGTTCTTGATGTTAAAGCCTACATTGTCACCAGGGGTGGCTTCGGGAAGGGCCTCATGGTGCATCTCTACAGATTTCACCTATGAAAATTCAAATGAAAATTCACATTAACACACTGTAAAATAGCACTGCTCCCAAATTATTACAAACATGATAAATTGAAATTTAGTAAAAACATATGGTAGAAATGTACACTGCATGGTTTGTCTCCTCAATCAAAGTCGCATAGCAACTCAGAGAAGGTCATGGAATATGCAGCGAAGGAATCAACATCTAACAAGAGCAGTTAGGAGAAACCGTTTGATGTACAACGTTGTGGAAGAGGATAAACCTCAAGCCTTCTGTTACAAAGGACAATCGGCTCCTATTCGCCACCATGACCGTATTGTAATAGACCCGAGGGTCCTTCACAATACAAGTCAACGTTGATATATTGATACAACTTGTGTCTAATTTTAATTTCAAATAATTACCTCAGTTGTTACGTTGGTGGGAGCAAAGGTTACAACCATGCCAGGCTTGATGATACCAGTCTCAACACGACCTACTGGCACTGTACCAATGCCTCCAATTTTGTAGACATCCTGGAGGGGCAGACGGAGGGGCTTGTCACTTGGACGAGATGGTGGCTGAATGCTATCCAGAGCATTGATCAAAGTTTTGCCAGAAACCTTTTCTTCCTTGCCATCCTTGTCTTTACGTTCAACAGCCCAGCCCTAAGAAAGAATTTAGAAAAATATAAGGTTTCAGGTCTCACAAAATCAGGGTATGCCTAACAAAAAAATATGGCAGACTTCGCTGCATTCACAAGCTTTTTAGCATGGGACTTACCTTGTACCATGGCATGTTTGGTGAATCCTCAATCATATTATCACCAACCCAACCAGAAATTGGCACGAAGGCAACAGTCTTAGGATTGTAACCAATCTTCTTAATGTATCCACTGACTTCTTTCTCAATTTCCTTGAAACGACTCTAAAAACAGAATAAAGTGTAATGTTAGATCTTGTAAAATTGTGTAGAAAAAATTCAGTAAAGAAGGAAAAATTTAAATGCTTATTCGTGACAAAATCATACATACCTCACTGTAAGGTGGAGTGGTGCTGTCCATCTTGTTGACACCAATGATGAGCTGTTTGACACCAAGGGTATAAGCAAGAAGAGCATGTTCACGAGTCTGGCCTTCCTTTGAAATACCAGCTTCAAACTCACCAGTACCAGCAGCAACAATGAGCACAGCACAGTCAGCCTTTGAAAAAAAAAAAGCATGCCAATTGCAAATTATCCACACAAGCACAGATTATTTAATTGAAAAAAAAATGGCAATGTAAATTTGTCTTATCAACTACCTGTGAGGTGCCAGTAATCATGTTCTTGATAAAATCACGATGTCCAGGAGCATCAATGATGGTAACGTAGAACTTGTCAGTTTGGAATTTCCAGAGAGCAATATCAATAGTGATACCACGCTCACGCTCAGCCTTCAGTTTGTCCAAAACCCAGGCGTATTTGAAGGAACCCTTGCCCATCTGAAAGTTGTTGAAATTCAAATTGTAATTAATATTGTAAAAATCAACAGATTTGACTTGCGCTAAAACAAAAAAATATATATAAAAAAAATTTGGAGGGTAGAGTACTAACCTCTTGAGCTTCTTTTTCAAACTTTTGAATAGTACGCTCATCAATACCTCCGCACTTGTAGATCAAGTGACCAGTGGTGGTTGATTTTCCAGAGTCGACATGGCCAATGACCACAATGTTAATGTGAATCTTTTCTTTTCCCATGTTGAATGTTTATGATATCGTACTGTAAAAGAACAGGATATTAGGTTTATAAATTCCAAGACATTTTTTAAAAACCCTAGATCTATTAACTTATTAACAAGACATACTGAAAAACTAGAAATTATTCCAGATCTAGAATCTAGAGTAAGCCTATGTACTATGTATTACTATGCAGATCTAATTAAATCAAATATTAAATAAATTTTCATATGTAGACTATGTCCAGTGTGAGTGCACATAGATCTAGAACTAAGATTCTAGATCTTTTAATTAGCCTACTACTAGTTAGTTACTAGATCTAAATCTAGATCTAGATTCTAGATCTATGTAATATGTAATGCAGCATGTCTCAGTAATGTGGTAGATGCTAGATCTAGATCTTGATTTTAAAAGTACTTAGGGGCCTATAAACTATAGATTATGATCTATGTCTTTATATTAATTTTATAATACTAGATCTAGATCTACTTTACTTTATGTTGTCACACGTGGTGAAAATCAATGCCACCACCTCATGCCGGTTATTGATCGACCATTCCAAAAAATTAAGTTAGGCCCAATCGGTAAAATTTCATTGATGGGAATTTCAATTTAGGCTTAATGGAATAATATATAGATCTATATAATAATTCTAGATGATAGAACTAGATCTAGAATCTAGAATCTAGATGGGAATTTTTATAACAGTGCCGGTGTCTGATCATGACATCATGGAATCTTCTTTAAAAAGGGGGTGTTAGGTTACTGGTAGTCAACTAAATAATACACACATGGCTGGCTAATATACTAATGTCAACTGCTAACCCTGTCCCTAATCCTAACCCCAACTCTGGTCCTATCATACGCCTAACCCTGATTTCAAAACATAAAATTAGTCGAGATAAATTGAGATTACAATACCAGATTTTCTAGATCTAGATCTAGTCTAGATTTTAGATCTAACAACCCAACACACATATTTTGTGGAAGAGTCTATTAATACTATTATCATTATGAATATTTAATATTATCGGATATCGTTATCTAAAAATCATCCGAATCTAGATCTAGATTCTACATGCCTGTCCTAAGATCCCAAGTCTATATTTAATATTTAGATTACAATATCGACTAAGATTCTAGATCTAAGATCTAGATCTAAAAATAATCGACACATTTTCCTATCGATAACCGGGTTTGCACACACTCCGACCTACCTCGTGTCTCGCTCAGATCCTTGGTGAAATATTGTGACCGGGTGAAAGCCTACCATCGTTTATATATGGTCCAAACCAAGGGAGTTGGGGGGTGGGGTGGGGGGGTCAGGAAGGGGAGGAGTCAGACTCAAAGTGGATTGTGTGGGCATCTTAACCGCGTGTGGAATGGAGGAGTGGGGTTTGGTCGATTGTAGGAAAAAAAGTCACAGGAAAAAAAAAACACAGGAAAAAAAAACACAGAAAAAAAGTCACAGGAAAAAAAGTCACAGGAAAAAAAGTCACAGGAAAAAAAGTCACAAATATATATTTGCATGATATTTGTTAACACTTTTATGTATTAAATATTTAGAGAGTGCAAATTAACTTAGGATTAATTAAATGTAATGTAATGTGTGCAGGCTGTATACGCATAGGAATTTTTATAATTCATCTAAAAATATTTATTATGAAGTATGTAGATTGTAATTATTTTAAACTTAAGATTAGTAGCATTTAATAGAATGCTCCAAAGTCCACGTTTTTCATCGTGTTTTTTTTTAAATACCAATATTAAATGACCGTGAAATGGTAAGTTCATCTGACTTGCTGCCCTCAACTCATGGCAACAATAGTTATGTTTAGTTCAACCACCTTTACTTCCCACATTTATCACGCTCATTACATAACAAAACTTAGGTTCAAAACAGAAAGCCGACAAGGTTCAAAGGCTGTCGATGACGCATAACGTCAACAACACACAATATGTTCGGACAATGCCTACTGAGGAGAGGCCGACCAGAGAATAGCCTACGGCAAAATGTGCCTAAATTTCTTTTATAATTAACTTTTCTACCGCGTATTTAACTAAATACGTAACAAATGTTGAGATTGCTGTGTAAATTATTTTAGAGTATTTTTTACTTACAATTGTTATAAATCATAATGCTTTTAACGTCTATAAATAATTTATGCCATCAAAAAATACAACCCACAACAATAAACATACAAAATTTTACAATTTTTATCAAATTAATAAAAATATTTCTAAAAAGATTTTTGTGACTTTTTTTCTGTGACTTTATTTCTGTGACTTTTTTTCCGATAAAATTTTTCCACTGTGACTTTTTTTCTGTGACTTTTTTTCCTAGCAAAAACTGTGACTTTTTTTCTGTGTTTTTTTTTCCTGTGACTTTTTTTCCGTTTACCGTTTGGTCTAGGTGTGATACTGTCCATACCTTGAAACTTTAATATTGCGATTAGGCCTAGTTTCGATTAATTAACCTAATCGATCGATAACCATTTTTTACACATGATGTTTAGAATATTTCTAAAGTAATTAGACAGTAAATTAATATTGGTTTTTTTTTTTAAAAAGACACTCAAAAGCTAGATCCATGCTGTGGGTTAGTCAACCTTAATATTTAAATAAGTCGTAAAAAAAAAACATTTCTGAACCAAACTACTGGATTTGTGAGTTAAACACCCAGGGGCATGCTGTTGCAAAGTATTCCCTTTGTTTCGTCTTCCTACCCCCCCCCCCCCTCACTTCCCCAAGTACCCAACTCCCCTCATTAAGTAGGTTAAATTTATAGGTCTAGACTAAATTTTATTTAAAAAAAATATTCGCTTATAACTACTAATCTAGTCCACAATCTGTTGAAAGATTGGCGTATCGATTTTAAAAAAATTAAAAAAAAATTAACAGCCTTTAAGTTATGAATGAATCGTTGTTAAGAGATAGTACGCCAATTCGTTTAGGTAACCTTGAAATTCCTTTACCCTAGCTTTTGTTTTTATCCCCCCCCCCCCCTCACCTACGCACTGGGGGGATTGGAAATTGAATACTGTGTAAAACGTCATTTCACGTGGAACGTCGTTTCTAATGGACTTGCTTGCCGGTTGCGTCATGCCATGTTTTGTTATTTAGAACCTAAGCAGCCGGCTGCCAGTATCGGCCTAGTCCTTTGTGGGGGTTAAACCATGGTAACACACAGACGTTATTGTGAAAGATTATATTACTATCCACGTGTAGAGCCAAACAAGTTGTGAAACAACCTACGAAAGGAAAATCTATTCACGCTTCAACGACTGACACGCCGGCTGACCTAGATTTACCACGTGGCGAAGCGGTGTTGTTCGTGTACACATTTTTATCAGTTATCATGTAGAGTCTACGTCTGAGTAACAAAATGACCTAATTAAGGTTTTAAAATCATTTACCTAAATTAAAGAAGAAAGAAATAATTTAAAAAACAAAAGGATGATGACACCTAGTAACTTAGAACTACCAACTTTGCAAACTGTTAAATTTAAAAAAACACAATCTTTATAACATTCGTTTTATTGGGCAGGCTAAAACTTAAAAACGGCCTGAATGGATGGTCACATTTTGATATTAGATTCGATCTGTGTGATATGTGTGTATCCTAGACTAGGTCTACTCGTCTGTATCTGGTTATAGTATTGCTATCATCGGCAGTATGTAGGCGTATGTGTGTGTCTATGCCACCCAATCGAATGTGCAAGCCACTATGTTCTTCTCCAATGTTTCAGTGTAAATTCTCAAAGGTCTAATACGTTATGTACAACACTCTAGCCCTCACTTTATAATTTTACCCAACATTCTCAACATAGCATCGCAAAATCTACAATATTGATTAGTAGCTAAAAATAAGCACGTGCTAAAAATGCAAAGACACCACGTGGTTTGAGCCAACCTTCCAACTCCCCCTTAAACCTTCAGACACAACAACTCAACAATTTTTAAAAAGATTTTATCAATATTCGAGAAACGAGAAGTCATGTCTTGTGAGCGACAGTGAGCTGTGTTAAAACTTGCGTTGATTGGCCCGTGAATTTCGTGCCACGAGTTGCCGGCATCCATATTGACCTAATTTTGGGACGGGGAAAAAATCGTGCTAGGCCAGCCTAAATGCTAAATTTACTTGTGTCAACAGTGAAGGCTGTGGTTAATTTTTAAAATGTATCTCCTGATAAAATAACAATGGAAAGTTTTCTTTCCTATTCACTAAACACCGTGTAAAATACTAAATAGGCCTACGTGTTAAAAACCCGGATTTACATAGCATCGTAAACTAATAAGGAAAAATCCCTAGCCATTTTATTTTACACACCTAATCTGGCCTACAAATACAATGTGCTCACAGGCCTACACACTGAACAATTATCTAGTGTCGTTGAAACCATTCAACAAAATAAGACACACTGGGTGGTCAGCTTTCGGGGCTGGATAGATGTGGACTAAAGTACAACAAACTGCCCTAAGGCAAACATTTTAGTAGGCCCTACTGGGGCCGAATGGAGAGTTGAGTTTTTTTATTTAGGCTATTGAAGCATGTCGAGGGAGAGGGGAGGGGTGGTTATAGAGACTAGGCAACAATAGAAACCTGTAGTTGACCTAAGAAGTAAGACAAGAAGTGATAAATAGGCCAATAAGTAAGATGACGTAGTACCACCTAAGACAAGATTCACATGTGTAATAGATTAAGATGTGTGTTCACGGCGTACCTCCCCCCCCCCCAAACATCCAATGGAATATAGATGGAAGAAGGGATCTTTCCAATGAAGAGTGAGCCCCTCTCCCCAGGGACGTAATAGAATAAAAATATTACATTTAAATACATATTGAAACTATTCTCCTCTCCCCTTTCCCCTCTCTTAGAAATTTTAAATGGCCCCTAGACAGCAAAATGTCCGAAAGAAACCATGCTACACTAAATTTTAACATTTTCCTTTCATTAGAATTTAAAACAATTATTCGCAAATTATTTGTCCTCATTGGTTATACACATTAATTGTATTATAATAACGCTTAAGGATAGTTGGTTTTTTTTTAATAATTTAAAAAAAAATTAAGTTCAGATTTTAAAATTTGAGACAGAATTTCAAGCTATTATAGGGCTTACAGTGTCAATATAGATCTAACCCTTTTGCTAAGTGTTGATCAGAACACTCGCGGATCTTGAAAGTCCACGCTACTAAAAAAAACATATACTTTAAAGTAAAGCGAAAGTAGATCTATATCTTATAGGTCTACACAACAGCCTACATTATTTTTCTTAATCCTTATAAAATAAGATAAAATTTCTTTATTTCGAGGAATAAAATTTAACCTTTGATAGTGCAACATATGGTTCCATGGTGTAATGGTTAGCACTCTGGACTTTGAATCCAGCGATCCGAGTTCAAATCTCGGTGGAACCTGAGCGGTGGCTATTTTTTAAATATTTGACTCTTGATTAACACTTTGCAACTAAACATAAACACAGACAGCACATGTAATCTAGAAATGTAATTAAATAGAAAATATATTTTTTAACAGTGTCCTTCCCCCCCCTCCCATGGAAATTTTAGTCCGCGTCCCCGAAAATTTCAAGAGCCTCCCCCCCCCCCCCCCCCGGACAAAAAAGGCTGGAAGAAACACTGGATTGTTGGGCATAATTTTAAGCACTGTAGAGGGTAGAGCATTACATAGGCATATATCAAAGGCTTCACCCAGCCTTTATGTACTGTTGCCACAATCGACACTCGTCGTCATAAAATGTGTTACCATAACCAGTATAAGAGAACACACAACTAATGCAGTTCCTATATTTTGTAATCTCAGCGCATCTCCAACACCCATTCACCTACTAAACATGATTTTTTTTGTAACCCAAATGCGTAAATCTATCAGTTTCTTCCAGACATCTCTTCGGTGTGGGGGGGGGGGGGTGTTGAATGGGGGCGGGGGGCGAAGATAGTCTACCGCCCCCCCCCCCCCCCCCAACGAAATGGAATTTATATAGAAAACATTTGCTTTTACCAATGTCTGCCCCCCCCCGAAAATATCAAGTGCCCCACCCCCCGGAGATAAAAGTCTGGAAGAAACACTGCCCCCCCCCCCCCAATCCTCTTTTTGGTTTATGTAGTTTCAAAACTTTTCCATCGATTTCGACCTCATTTCATCACAATCTTTTGCCGTAGGTGCCCACTGCCCACGAAAATTTATCTCCATTTCGACCACATTTAGGCACTAGTGTTTCTTCCAGACTTTTTTTTTCAGGGGGGGGGGGGGGAGGGGAGGGGGGGGGGAAGGGCACTTGATATTTATTTTCGGAGGGGGGCGGACACTGGTAAAAGAATGTTTTCTATATAAATTCCATTTCGTTGGGGGGGGGGGGGGGGCATGACCCCCCCCCCCCGAAGAGATGCGTGGAAGAAAATCTGATTTCTACTAGTTTAAACCCTCTCCAACTACACTAAATAAAAGTATGTTGACCAAGGGCTGATATGGAAAAAAGCTGACTTAACAAAAAAGACACAACAGAGATAAAGGGGATAGGCCAAGGCCGACAGACAATTGTACAAACAGCGACGGTCTTAAATTAAATAAGTATAACTATAATTGTTCGCAAAGTTTACTAGCATTTGATTTATTCAGTTGGTATTTCAAAAAAAATAAATATTTGTTCTATTGCTTTGTGGGTAAGGGGTCATCTATAAATGACGTTACGCTTTTTTTGACGATTTTTACCTCCCCCTCCCCTCCATCACACGTCGTCACAAAAAGCCAGACCCCCCCCCCCTTAAAATGACGTCACACCTCAGCCCACAACCCCCCTCAAAATTGCTGTTGAATTTTTCTTAAAACAACGATATTTTTCAAAAATATTGTCAGAACTCAGTCAACATTGAGCATTTTGATCAATTTCTATTACAATTTATTAAAACAGTTTTCTAAAACGCGAAAAAAACGGCTAAAATTCATTTTCTAACATTGCTTTTTTATAATGCAAAAGTGTGACGTCCCACCATCTGACCCCCCCCCCCCCCCCATCACAAAATTACAGACCCCCCGCTCCCCCTTACGAGTGTGACGTCATTTATGGACGACCACTAACCCACACCATAGCCCTTCATATTGTGCCAATTGTTGCTGGTACTGTAGTAACTCAGACCATAGCCCTTCATATTGTGCTGTGATTTTTTTGGTAGCCCACAACATAGCCCTTCATATTGTGCTGTGATTTTTTTGGTAGCCCACAACATAGCCCTTCATATTGTGCTGTGATTTTTTTGGTAGCCCACAACATAGCCCTTCATATTGTGCTGCGATTTTTTGGTAGCCCACAACATAGCCCTTCATATTGTGCTGTGGTTTTTTTGGTAGCCCACAACATAGCCCTTCATATTGTGCTGTGATTTTTTGGTAGCCCACAACATAGCCCTTCATATTGTGGTGTGGTTTTTTTTTGGTAGCCCACAACATAGCCCTTCATATTGTGCTGTGATTTTTTAGTAGCCCACAACATAGCCCTTCATATTGTGGTGTGGTTTTTTTCTAGCCCACAACATAGCCCTTCATATTGTGCTGTGATTTTTTGGTAGCCCACAACATAGCCCTTCATATTGTGCTGTGATTTTTTTGGTAGCCCACAACATAGCCCTTCATATTGTGCTGTGATTTTTTGGTAGCCCACAACATAGCCCTTCATATTGTGGTGTGGTTTTTTTTGGTAGCCCACAACATAGCCCTTCATATTGTGCTGTGATTTTTTGGTAGCCCACAACATAGCCCTTCATATTGTGCTGTGATTTTTTGGTAGCCCACAACATAGCCCTTCATATTGTGCTGTGTTTTTTTGGTAGCCCACAACATAGCCCTTCATATTGTGGTGTGGTTTTTTTCTAGCCCACAACATAGCCCTTCATATTGTGCTGTGATTTTTTGGTAGCCCACAAAATAGCCCTTCATATTGTGCTGTGACTTTTTTGGTAGCCCACAACATAGCCCTTCATATTGTGCTGTGATTTTTTGGTAGCCCACAACATAGCCCTTCATATTGTGCTGTGGTTTTTTGGTAGCCCACAACATAGCCCTTCATATTGTGCTGTGATTTTTTGGTAGCCCACAACATAGCCCTTCATATTGTGCTGTGGTTTTTTGGTAGCCCACAACATAGCCCTTCATATTGTGGTGTGATTTTTTGGTAGCCCACAACATAGCCCTTCATATTGTGCTGTGGTTTTTTGGTAGCCCACAACATAGCCCTTCATATTGTGCTGTGGTTTTTTGGTAGCCCACAACATAGCCCTTCATATTGTGCTGTTGCTTGCTGGTACTGTAGTAACCCAGACCATAGCCCAAAATATTGTGCTGTGATTGTGTGGTAGCCCATCATTTGGTTGTAGCTCATTTTGTGGTGTACTCAGGGACGTTTTACTGTCTTGAGTACGGATTTGAACCTGACTTTTGGGCTAGAAGTCTAGCGCTCTACTGCTAGACCATGCCGTCCCACTAATTTCTTTTTAGTTCAAGAAATTATTTCAGTACTATCTGCCAAAAATGAATTTGTTTTAGTAGTTTCAACTTCAGTGGAAATTATTTCAGTATTTTCAGCTAAAATTTTTTTTAGAGAGCAGCTTCGTAAGTTAAATACTCTTATTCTCTTGTTTCCAGTTGTAAAAAAAAATCATAAAATTAATATTATTATGTCTACAAAGATTTATATTTTATTACCAATTCTTTTCATGAATTTGTTTTAGTAGTTTCAACTTCAGTGGAAATTATTTCAGTATTTTCAGCTAAAATTTTTTTAGAGAGCAGCTTCGTAAGTTAAATACTCTAATTCTCTTGTTTCCAGTTGTAAAAAAAATCATAAAATTAATATTATTATGTCTACAAAGATTTATATTTTATTACCAATTCTTTTCATGGTAACAAAGTTTCATAATAAACAATAGCATAAAGCAATAAAATTTAATAACATTGGTACTTTCAATTAATTAGTCCTTTAATTAAAAGTACTTTAAAGAGCTTCTTACCATTATGAAACTTAAAGTCGCTGAATACTTGATTTAATTTCAGATATTTAAAGAATTTTTAAAAATCGTTTTAAAAGAATAAAACCAAATAGAATTTTAAATATGAAAATAATAGTTTATTATTAATGTAATAACATTTTCAAAAATCAGAGATAGCCAGGTTGTGATGTTCTACCATCTTGCACGTGTAAAACCACTCAATTTGTTGTAATCAGCCAAGTTCCTCAACTGAATCCTACTCAACCTGTACCTATAAATAACCCAGCGTGGCCGAGATGTTAGTATACAGCGATTCACTACACGTGTTGGGTTCACATCTGGTGGCATAGTATGAAGTTCGTGAGATGCTTCTTCCTGCAGACACACAAGGGACATTGGTGAGGCTAAACAAGTGACATTGGTGAGGCTAAAGGTTAGACTAAACAAGTGACATTGGTGAGGCTAAACAAGTGACATTGGTGAGGCTAAACAAGTGACATTGGTGAGGCTAAACAAGTGACATTGGTGAGGCTAAACAAGAGACATTGGTGAGGCTAAACAAGAGACATTGGTGAGGCTAAACAAGAGACATTGGTGAGGCTAAAGGTTAGGCTAAACAAGAGACATTGGTGAGGCTAAAGGTTAGGCTAAACAAGTGACATTGGTGAGGCTAAACAAATGACATTGGTGAGGCTAAACAAGGGACATTGGTGAGGCTAAACAAGTGACATTGGTAAACAAGAGACAAGAGAATAATCAAAGTCTGACCCCATTACTTTAAACTTAACATAAATTGTAACTTATTGCTAGTAAATTTAATATTACGTTACAGTTTCTTATATTAAAAAAACCTCAAAAGCAAAAAAATGCAATAGTAAGTACAAAATATAAATAAAAGTAATAATAATATAGGTGTGTCACTGTTGAATTTACTGGAATTTGTATGTTGTGACTTTTAAAAAAAAATCAAACCCATTACATAACACAGACCTGTATCTCTTTGGGTAGGACGGAACATCTCTTGATTGCAATTAACCTCTGTCTGACTGGGAAGTTCTCCGTAACCATAAGTCGTCTCTTGTAATCACGGTACATCCACCTGTTCAGAAAGTGATGCGCAAAGCATTTATGGCGTGCTGGGACCGTGGTGTTGATAGCTGATGTGGTGGAATCAGGCTTGCATATGGTGGGGGCTGAGGCTGATGGTAGCAGTGTTTTGGAGATAGAACTAAACAGTTCAGAAATTCTCGGGATCTGCAATAAGTGAAAATTTTAATCATGTCTGAGTATACATTTTTTTGTTTGAATAATTAATAGATCTAATTTTTAAAATTCCAAAAAGAAATTTTTACAAATTAAATTTCAGAAACCCGGTACCCGGTACCATTGAATTTTGAAAATATTAGTTTCAAAAATTGCAGCTTATTTGAATCAGCGCAAAAAAAAAAAAAGAAAAATTGTAATAACATAAATATATTGTAATAATAAAGTTATGACACATTTTTCTTTTGTTACTATGTTTGTCAGTAGATTTATGGTCCAAATCTTGTAACTTAGTTGTAAATCACAGCAAGATAAGTTACAAGCGCCTCTCCAATGACAATAAAAGAGTACCTAATTTACTATCTAATTAGATATTAAATTAGTCTTCAAAAATTAATTAAATGATAGCTTTATTAAATAATAAAAGGGGAGATAAAAATAGTGATCATGTATTGGCTAGTTTACAAAAAATCCAAGCTTCTAGCTCTAGACCCTCCTGATGGGGTTGCAGGGCAGAGTTATCCTACGGTGTTGTTTTACTTCACTTAATGCCTCTGTATGGCCTCCGAAGTGAGTTTTTACATCATGATCAGTTTGATTTACAAAGGAATCTGCTCAAATGAAAAACAAACTACCCCTTTTTCTTTGTTCTTATATGTGTCAATATTGGATGCTGCTTGGCTGGGAAGATAAGTAAACACTTCCCAATTGAATATAAAGGAAGAGTCCTAGTTCAGTTCTGTAAAACTCATGAACGAGCCCTAGAGTCTTGCCATAGCTGGAAACTATCCACTCTACCACGAGGATGTGGTGTCTCTGTGGTCTGAACCTTCAACCATCAATATAAGCCGCATCCAGGTTGGGTGGGATTCATTAAAAGTCACAACTCAATCTGCTATTGTGCCTGGGCTGGCCTATACTTAAGCTCAGCGAGTAAGGCTGAATACAGGAAGTAGTGGTGGCTCGCTCAATAGGTCAGGAGAGCTGGTATTCTTGAGAGCTGTTTACAAATATCAGACATGCTACTTGGGCTAACTAGGGAGAAATGGCTTGTCATTTAAAGTAATTAATCAATTAATATATTGCAAACTATTTTTTTTTTAAAAAACAAATATTTTTAACACGACAGAGTAAAGTTTGTTGTTAGTGTTACTCTCCATATTTTCAAACGTATAGACAATGCTCTACGTCAAGGTTGTGCTGATGGTGTAAATGTATACCTGGCCTTACTGATACCCCTTTTCAATATTTTCATGTCCTCATCTGCTCTCTCATCCTTGCTTACTGTCATCACTCTCTGTTTTTTTTCAATTAATCTTCAACTTACTTTAAGCCTTTCTTAAAAGCTTCTTTGGAGAAAAACTAGGCAAGACAACATTTGGCAAAGAAATGCAAAACTGCAAATGGGGATGGGTAGGACACACCCTGCGTAAATCAACTAGCAACATCACCAGACAGGTTCTAGATTGGAATCTCCAAAGAAAGTAGTTAGGCTAAAACAAACATGGAAAAGGTCAGCTGTTGCTGTTAGTCAGTGTTAGACTGTTAGTGAAGCAGCCAGAATGATGTTGGTCCAAGTTGGAGGAATCACAGTGAGAGTCGGAGCTGAGTATTGAGTATAAGACAAAGTTAATAGATCTAGATCTAGTAGTAGTATAAGTTTGAGTGGATTGTGCTTTTGTAGAATGGAACTGAAATTATTTGATGAAACCTCTCCCAAGACCACTTCAAGTTTTTTATTTTAGTTTTTTGACATTTGTGTTGAAATGTGTTGAAAATTGTGTTGTGTTGTTGTCATGGCCATACCATTTGCATTTATGATTTACCCAAAGAATCGCTTTATTTAAATAATAAAAGCTCTTACATGTGTTGCACCACCTGGTGCAAACCTCGATAACACAGAAAACATTTTGTTGCATAAGCGATAAGCTGTGCTAAGTTTCTAAATCAGAAGTCTACGTGCTAAATTATAATGTAAGCATACTAAAAATAAAGCTCAAGGGCGCTGCCATTTTGAGTATGAAAATTGTTTCGCGATTTTAAATTTTATTTACCTGTCTAATATAGACTAGGCCCTAACATTTTTTGAAAAAGGAAAACGAGTGATTTTTTTTTTTATTTTGGATGTTTTAGCAGAGCATAAATTGTATTATAACTCAACATATAGGCCTAATATAATTTTTAAATTTTTTATTTCCTAATTAAAATTGATTATTTCGAATATACAGCTCTCGTTATACAATATTATACATCATGTAACTGCTAGTAGTACATTATAATCCGAGATAGAATATAGATAGATTCTTCGTTCTTTAACTCTTGCAGTATAAGTATAATCAGAGTCTCTTCCAGGCATCTCTTCGCCCCAGAGGCGTAGCGACCCTTCCCGGCGCCCGGGGACTAACTTTTCGATTTGCACCCCCTCGAGATTTCGATTTGCACCCCCCTCAAACTTTCAATTTGCACCCCCCTCAACCTTTCAATTTATTTTTCCAACCCATTTTGGCGCCCCCTAAGCTCGGCGCCCGGGGACATATGTCCCCCCCCACCCCCACCCCCCCTCGCTACGCTACTGCTTCGCCCCCCCCCCCGAACGAAATGGAATTTATATAGAAAATATATACTTTTAACAGTGTCCGACCCCCCCTCCCCACCCCCCAAAATTTTCAAGTGCCCCCCCCCCCCCCTCGGAGAAAAAATGTCTGAAAGAAACAAAGGGTCATTCTGTACTTGAAATAAAACGCTGCAGTTAACTCTAAATATGGGTAGGCTTAATTAAATTTTAAAAATATCGGACGTAATCGCAACACAACAGATAAACAAACACAATTTATACCCCAGTAGCATACACTGGTCAAAATTGAACTAATTGAAATATTTTAGTCTACTGGCTAAATAAACAACCATCAAGCGGACTTTATATAATAAAGACGTATGAGATATTCTAAGATACATTATGCAACGATAGGGAAGTAGTCTGTTATTCTGTGTCATCACTACGGATATCAGCTGTCCCTATTGCATGATACAGATCTAGATCTAGGCTACATCCAAATAGACTCTAGGCCAATGTGTTGGTAGGTCCAATTCAGAATTTATATTTAAAAGGCGAAATTGAGGATTGAAGGACCTACTATTTATAGAACTTACGTCACAAACCAGACTATCCCAGCGTTCCCAGCATACCCTACTTAGTCACGTGACGCGATTCTTCGGTCCTTTTTTGCGGTGGTTCTGAGCGTGACAGCAGGTATGTTGAATTCATTCCTACAATCGCTTATAATCTATAGGAATTATAACTCATCTAGTCATTCTGATTTGAAAGTTGGTATCTTAAAACGTTTCTTGTATTGTCGCTTTCGTTTTCTACTGTGCGTATGACGTTATATATTGAAATATCCATTTGAAAAGTTAGTTAAACTCAAGCCGGCTAAACGACCACACCGCCATGCTAATTAACAAAGAAATTTTAGAATAAATAATTATAAGTGTTATGTGAAGTAAACCTACTTATTGTAGGGTTTTATACCAACTTAAATACAATTTAAAGACTTAATTTGGGGTTAACATTGATAAAAACTTTGTCATCTCTTTAGTTAGGATGTTGTGACGTGACAAAGAATGATAGTCTAGCCATTTTTTGGTAAAATCTTAGTTTAGCGTCGTAAATTCCAACGTAGCTAGTAATGTGCGATGAAGGTAACTAATGAATATTTCTTTCATTTGGCCATATTTATGTCATATTTTACATAACATAACAGATAATTGAATAACAAATCACAATCCAAGACCAAACCAGTAATAAATATCCTGGAATAAACTTTAAACTACCCCGTTCGAGACAACAATGAGTAAATACGAGCAGCGGCCATGTTTTAAAAACAATAAATTGTCTATTCGCATGTCTTTTGTGTTGATTTTGTGGTTTAATATTATTGTTTTGTATTGTTTTAATATATGCCGGGGGGGTCGTCCATAAATGACGTCACACTCGTAGGGGGGAGGGGGGTCCGTAATTTTGTGACGTTGTGTGATGAGGGGAGGGGAGGGGTTCAGATGGTGCGACGTCACACTTTTGCATTTTAAAAAAAGCAATGTTACAAAACGAATTTTAGACGTTATTTTGCGTTTTAAAAAACTTTTAATACATTGTAATAACAATCTATATATATAATTCTCTTCTGGGAGCCGCTAGAAAACAAGCTGCAAATGCGCCTAGAAAACAAGCTGTAAACGCGCTCCCTACCTCCCCACCCCTACATGGTTTTAGTGAGCTGTGTTCACTATAAATTTTAACAAGCAGAGCAAAAGATTTTAAACGTAGGGGAGGGGGGAAAAGGGGGGGGGGTTATGGTCCTTAACGAGCTACTTATAGTGTTTTAAAGAAATATTTTCAGTGGCAGCGTTGGCACTGTCGAATTCACAAATTTTGAATTACTGAAAAGTAGAAAAAACAACTAAATAGCGGCGTATGTTATGCCGCGGGCCGGCTCGTTGATTAAAATACTCTATTTTGGCAGAGTTCAGAGAGGATTTTGCAAAAATATAGCTGTTTAAAAAAAATTCAACTGGATTTTGAGGGGGGGGGGGGGGTGGGGTGTAGGCTGAGGTGTGACGTCATTTTAGGGGGGGGGGGGTCTGGCTTTTTGTGACGACGTGTGACGGAGGGGAGGGGGGGGGGGTAAAAATCGTCAAAAAAAGCGTGACATCATTTATGGATGACCCCCTGTATAGTAATTTTTCTTTTTTTTTAATATAGTTGACATAAATGACTAATAGACCTTATCAGACTTAATAGTGTGCATCCAAGACCACAACAATTGTTGGGAGGTCGAACTTTTGAACACTTTATTTGCAGTAAGCAAATCAATATTAGATCGCTCATAAATGACGTCGCTCTTAAGATAGTAATGACAGCGTGCATTATTACATAGCAAACATATGAACATATTGTTTCAGATAGAAATTGTGATTTGTGGTGGGGAGAGGTTGAGTAGAACTCAGCGATGTGATTTTGGAGACGGGTCAGGTTTTTTTTTTTTTTTCGTGAAAACGGGATGGTTGTGGGGGAAAGACCAGCTGTAGAAGTATGACGCGTCATTCATTGGTGATCTATTTTCTCAGTGGGGACGAAAGAACTATTAAGAAGGGTCAAGAAATGTAAAAAGCTTGCCGAGTCGCATTTCTTGAACCCTACCTTTTTCATTCCCCCACTTAGCACATCGTCACCGAGTTTACGCTCGCACGTGACGTGACGTCATGTACCGGTACCGCCGACCGTTAGGCTAATTTTATAGGAAAAAACAAACAACAAGCGCTGCCGTTTTGGCGCTTATGCGACGTTTAATTTGATTACATAAGTTGGTGTTAATTAAACAGCCCATAACACATCTATCACTCGTCCATTTAAACGTACGTGGTTATTTCTGCAAGCTTGCTGTCTTGAGACTTTCGGCCCTTTAAAAATGTATTAAGCTCTCACCGTATAGAACTAGACTACCCATATTAAGCTCCAAAAGAAGCTTGGTGAAAACAGGATGGCCGTCCGATTTTGAAGCTGCTCTGCGCTTTATAAAAAGCACAATAAACGATAAGATGACACTTATATTAATGTAAATTATAGTTCTGAATCTTGATACATTAAAAGTGATATTCGGAAATTAAGAGCCAGACAGTCAACATGATATTTCAATTTAAGTCCAAGAAAATAAATTTCCTCAAACGATGGAACATTAATAAATTTTCGCGCAGTTTAGCGAAATTGAATTAAAGTATATACGTCATCTTACAAAGCGCGATAGCCTACTGGTGCTCTAACGCGGCCCATGCTAATGGCCGTATTCCTAACGCCCCGCATTAGACGCGGCTTATTCGTCGGCAGGCATTTGGTGGCAAGCCTTTTTGACGGGGATAATGTGTTGAGGCCGTTTTGCCAAATGTCTTAAACTATCAGGCTTGCAACATTTGTGATGATTCGTTTTAAGCAGCTTATTTATCGTTATTTTGATTGAACAAAGCATTAAAGAAGTTCTCCATCAACCACCTAGGTATTTTTCCCCGTTCACCTCCTTTCATGAGACCGACACGTCATAAATTGCAGAGCCGCCTGAGTTGACGTCACAAATCTTCACTCACCCCCGTAGCAAATCATATGTGACATCATTTATGGACAACCCCATATCACTCACTTGGGTACTTGATATTGACAATTTGACAACAAAGGATAACCAAAATCTGTCTGGCAGGTGGAGACTTGCGATCGACCATAAATGACAACACGCACTTGAGGAATGGAGTGGCTCATTGTTTTAGATGATGTTTTACGAGGGAAGCTGGTGGATAATGCATTTTGTCTCTCTGTATATATAAATAATGACAAACATTTAATGTTGTCAAAATTATGGTTAGAGATCTTAGATAAGGCAGAGTGAAGCGTAATTTTTTACATTATGACTTGTTGTGACATTGACAACAAACATATGACGCAGGTTGGGGTTTAATTAAGGTAAGAGAAGTAAAAAAATGTCATAAGTTACGATAGAATCACTAATTGATGAAAAGAAAAACCTGAAATGAAAATAGTGAACATTCAAACAATAAGAAAAAACTCAAACTATATAGATCTAGTAATAGTAAGATTAAATAAACATTAGTAATAAAAAACGTGATTTAATACATGGATACAAGTTGCATCTCACAATGCTTCTAGAATTAATAAAGTTGTTTGTTGGGAAATTCAGTTTTTAAAGAGCAGAATAAAAAAAAATGCTTTGTAATACGGACTATACAACAAGACAAATACATTTTCATACGAATAGAAATGAAAGGGAAGCTACTCTAAATAACATTTTCTTAAGATGGCTGCTGTTTTTAATAGCAAATTTACTATCTCGAACAGAGTTGATAAAAATTAGTTTCAGGATATTTAAATTAATTTAACCATAAATGGTGATCTATTATTTAATTATTTATAATATTTTATCAAAATATACCAAAATATACTCATATTTAATGACATATTCATTAATTCACTCTCTCCTACATTACTAGTTTTGGCCGAATTTACGACGCTAAACTAAGATTTTACCCATTTTTTCAGCCTTAACCAACAGTCGTATGTCCAATTACCGAAGTATATTAAGTATGCTTTTAATATTTCTTCCAGCTCCAAATCATTATCTAAACATTCAACATGGGAAAGGAAAAGATTCACATTAACATCGTCGTCATTGGCCATGTCGACTCTGGAAAATCAACTACCACTGGTCACTTGATCTACAAGTGCGGTGGTATTGATGAACGTACTATTCAGAAATTCGAAAAAGAAGCTCAAGAGGTAAGTTTTTTAAACTAGAGACTAGATCTAGAAACAACTAGAGGAGTTTACACTTTTCGGACACACACCAAAAATTACGTAGGACCGAACACTTCGTCGGTTTTTGGCTCATAGAAACTTTAATTAGCATGTCTCACGCGAAACCACGGCGCCTGCACGTAAACTGTTCATTTATGAACACTTCCGTGTCAAGTACTTCCGTTTCCTTTCTCAAGAATTATTTTTAGAAATTTTTTAACGTTGCATGGTACGCACATTTCTATTTTTACACCAGCCGGATGAAGTGACCTAGGGTTGGACTTAGGGGCAAAACTTGAACCAATCAATGCTTAGCTAAAAGGTTACACTATAAATAGCTTCTATACATGTATGGAACATCGTAAATGTCAAGGTTAATGGGTTTTTTCGTGCTTGAACAATAAAAAAGGGGTGTTCGCTAACTTTTTTGACCTTACATGGGACCGGACAGCAACACAAAAATATTATTAAATAAGAATTTAGAGCATAAAAGGGGCTGGTTATGAAGGGAAAGGGTCAAAATAAGGTCAAGAAGGCAGTGGAATGCGAAAGAGGAGGGGGAATCATGTGACCTGGCTGGCTTAGCAGCGTACTGCGCGAGCCGCAATGGCTGAATGGGATGAACTTTGGGAGTGTGGGAAAAAGGTTTTATACTATTAAAATTACCTCACAAACAATCAATAACACAATATAAATGCATATAATATATGTTTTTATTCATTAAATTGACTTTAAATTATTCTAAATGAACAAAAAGTGCTATGTCCGATGACGGGTAAAGGTGTCCGAACACATGTAAAACTGTATTACATGTGTTCGAACACACGTTAAGACCCCCCAGTCACTATAACAAGAATGGCTTAAGTTCTATGCGTATGAATACAAAATGACACACACATTATTAAAGTAGAATGGTTGCGGATAGATATGATACTTTTTTTTGTTTTCTATGTTAAGCGGTTACTGAATGAGACCGCATGGAATTTTTACGTTGCGTTTTTTCGCTATGTGTGTCCGAAAAGTGTAAGCTCCTCTAGTTAACGTAATGTTTTCACATTTAAGCATTTATCATAAAAATTCTTTTAACAGATGGGCAAGGGTTCCTTCAAATACGCCTGGGTTTTGGACAAACTGAAGGCTGAGCGTGAGCGTGGTATCACAATTGATATTGCTCTCTGGAAATTCCAAACTGACAAGTTCTACGTTACCATCATTGATGCTCCTGGACATCGTGATTTTATCAAGAACATGATTACTGGCACCTCACAGGTAGTTGATTGGAAATTTTACATTGCCATTTATTTTAATAAAATTAGTCTGCTTGTGTGGATAATTTGCAATTGGCCTGCTTTTAAAATAAATGTTTTTTCCCCCCAAAGGCTGACTGTGCCGTGCTCATTGTTGCTGCTGGTACTGGTGAGTTTGAAGCTGGTATTTCAAAGGAAGGCCAGACTCGTGAACACGCTCTTCTTGCTTATACCCTTGGTGTCAAACAGCTCATCATTGGTGTCAACAAGATGGACAGCACCACTCCACCTTACAGTGAGGTATGTATGATTTTGTCATGAATATGCATTTAAATTTCTCTTCGTTTACTAAATCTATTGTCTACACAATTCTAAAATATCTAACATTACACATTATTTTGTATTTAGAGTCGTTTCAAGGAAATTGAGAAGGAAGTCAGTGGATACATCAAGAAGATTGGTTACAATCCTAAGACTGTTGCCTTCGTGCCAATTTCTGGTTGGGTTGGTGATAACATGATTGAGGATTCACCAAACATGCCATGGTACAAGGTAAGTCCCATGATGAACAGCTAGTGAATGCAATGAAGTCTGTCATAACATTTTAAGGCATACCCTAATTTTGTGAACGACCTGAATCCTTATCTTTTTCTAAATTCTTTCTTAGGGCTGGGCTGTTGAACGTAAAGACAAGGATGGCAAGGAAGAAAAGGTTTCTGGCAAAACTTTGATCAATGCTCTGGATAGCATTCAGCCACCATCTCGTCCAAGTGACAAGCCCCTCCGTCTGCCCCTCCAGGATGTCTACAAAATTGGAGGCATTGGTACAGTGCCAGTAGGTCGTGTTGAGACTGGTATCATCAAGCCTGGCATGGTTGTAACCTTTGCTCCCACCAACGTAACAACTGAGGTAATTATTTGAAATTAAAATTAGACACAAGTTGTATCAATATATCAACGTTGACTTGTATTGTGAAGGACCCTCGGGTCTATTGCATTACGGTCATGGTGGCGAATAGGAGCCGATTGTCCTTTGTAACAGAAGGCTTGAGGTTTATCCTCTTCCACAACGTTGTACATCAAACGGTTTCTCCTAACTGCTCTTGTTAGATGTTGATTCCTTCGCTGCATATTCCATGACCTTCTCTGAGTTGCTATGCGACTTTGATTGAGGAGACAAACCATGCAGTGTACATTTCTACCATTTCTGTTTTTTAATAAATTTCAATTTTCTACCATGTTTTTGTTTTTAATAATTTAGGAGCAGTGCTATTTTACGTTGTATTGATGTGGATTTTCATTTGAATTTTTATAGGTGAAATCTGTAGAGATGCACCATGAGGCCCTTCCAGAGGCCACCCCTGGTGACAATGTAGGCTTTAACATCAAGAACGTCTCTGTCAAAGAAATCAGAAGAGGCAACGTTGCTGGTGACAGCAAAAATGATCCACCAAAGGCCACCAAGCAGTTCCATGCTCAGGTAGGTTTGGGTATTTGTGTGCAGATTGATGTTATAAGGTTTTCTTATGGGGGTAGTAGTCAAATTAATTTCAAATATTTTACAAATTTCCATGATTTTTATAAATCTATTATTTCTGGTTTTGAGTCACTAGCTAAATGTATGCATTCTATCCTATACTTTCTGATCATTACAAATGTTGTGTAGTTTTCCTAACTCTTGGTTATTTGTATTGGCAGGTCATCATTCTGAACCACCCTGGTGAGATCAAGAATGGCTATGCGCCAGTGTTGGACTGTCACACTGCCCACATTGCCTGCAAGTTTGCTGAAATCAAGGAGAAATGTGATCGTCGTTCAGGCAAAAAGCTGGAAGACAATCCCAAGTTTGTTAAATCTGGAGATGCTGCCATGGTTGACTTGGTCCCAAGCAAACCTATGTGCGTGGAGGCTTTCCAGGAGTACCCACCCCTTGGTCGCTTTGCTGTTCGTGACATGAAACAAACAGTAGCTGTGGGTGTCATCAAGTCTGTTATCAAGGAAGATGCCGCCGCCGGTAAAGTTACAAAGGCTGCAGCCAAAAAGAAGTGAATAGAACAGGAACCCTTGCCTACGCTGAGAGGATTTAAGAATGCCTATACGAAGATTTTCTTGAATGGTCGACATAGATTTTGTGAAAAACCTAACAAGTCTCGAAACTACCACCATTATAGTAGCAGTGATGATATTGCTGCGATTTATTTTAATTTTATGCCCATTAAAAAGCTGACTCAGTTAATTTTAATTTCTTGGTCTAGGTGGCTTTTACAGTCAAAATTGCACAGAAAAGAGTTCAGGAGGAAAAACGTTTAAGCCTAAGTTAATTTTATTCAATGTGTAAAAATAAACGTTCGTTTTAAGTGTAAATTAAAATTTACCTTCAGTACGGTGTTGTAATTTTTATTCACTAGTTGTGCTTGTCTGTTACTTCCCATATTAAAAACCTCTGGGGTATTTCATGGATTACCAATCTGGTATTTCAGTAATTTGATATCTAGCTGAATTTTGCAAATTTACGAAATTGTAATTCATCTGATAAAGGGAGACTGGGAATTTAAAACTTAAGGTATTCGAATATTTGGTGGCACCAGCACAAACTATAACAAATTTTCTCGCTATTTGTGCGGTAGGGGTTTTTTTTAGCCCTTTTTCGACAATTTGGTGGCATCGGATAGTGGTTTTCAACGGGATGAAATTGTCGCTCAACTGATTCGAAGTCTACTATGTATCCAATCCATAGGCCTATTCTTGCGTAGTTTTTCCACGCAGGTTGGGTGGCAGTTTTCTTCCAGATTTTTCTCCCGTGGTGGGGGAGGGGGGGGGGAAGTGCGGACACTGTAGACCAGGGGTCGGCAACCTTTTGAAGAGCCATTTCATTTCAAATTTTTATATTTTTAAGATTATTAGTTTTTGTGCAAGGAGCTGGAGAGCCGCATTTTGATATCAAAAGAGCCGCAGGTTGCCGACCCCTGCTGTAGATCAGTGGTTTCCAAACTTTTTCGAGTAGCAACCCCCTTTTAAAAGAGTAAGTGACCCGCGACCATAGGAAATACGTTTGGGTATGAATGCTGAATACTACACCAAAATTGTGTGTGCAGTTTTTCAATCATCTTACGCGGAATGATTCTGCAAATCAAATAATTGCTTCATCTTTATTCCATTAGTTATGTTAGTAAAGCCCCAGGTTGGGAACCGGTGCTGTAGGCCATATACATTGAATTCCATTTTAAGGGGGGGGGGGGTGGTGGTGGATGAGATACCTGGAATAAACTGGTAACACCTGCTTTAAGTTATGAGTATCGCCCATCCCATCTTTGCACTTTTCCGCTCCAGACACGAGTATACGTTCATTACCGGATCATCTGGTGAAGAAATTGAACTGCTTAACCGTGTGATTTAGCTTCCGGTATTATTAAACCTATTTTCCATCTCCTTAGCTACCGATGATTTTAAAAAACGTGGGGAGTGCGGGGGGGGGGGGGGGGGGGGAGTGTAATTGGATAAGCAGACCGTTTTGCTCAAGTCGTTTACTGAGGAAATCACGCGTCCATTTCACTTTGAGAAAGGCTTAGATTTAAGAAGCGTGTGTTAGTAGCCTACTGTAGTAAGCTATGGGATTTACTTATCAATCGCTTTGATTGCTTTATGGATCCTAAAAATTAAACGAAACTTGATCATGTTCATCACAATTGTGCAATATTTTTTATTTAACTAAACTAAATTATTGGTTATTTTAAACAATTATTCTTGAGAAATAATTTCATTTATTTCTTAGATTGTTTCCAGCCTGTTAGTTATTCCAGGGTTTTTTCGTGTGTTGAAATTCAATTATATTTGAAGGGTAAGTAACCTATACATGTAGGCCACACAAGCAACATACATTGATTTAAACAAATTATCGCCCTTTTCATACAATTTCTTACTAATTGTTATGCTACGCAGTGTGGTAGTGCCAGTTACAAAGATGTAAAAATGCAGTTTTGCATTATAATTAATAAATATTAAAAATATATGGGGGGGGGGAGGTCCAAATTGAAAGTTTGTCCACGGGGGAGGGGTAAATTGTTTGTCCACGGGCGCCGGGAAGGGTCGCTACGCCTCTGCCGCCCCCCCCCCCCCCCCCCCCCCCCCCCCCCCCCCCCTCCGTTAATGGGAGTCACAATGGCATTCTATGTCTAAACTAATTAAATAAACCAAAACAAAGGAAATAACTGTTGAAGTATGACGACACACCATAGGTTTGAGAAACAGGTAAGTATTTAAGAACCCATTCATTGCTATGTGCCTATAGGACGAGATAAGATAAGCCTGCTAGACTCTAGTAACCAACAGCAACGTACATTAGGACGTTAGGTTTCATTGAGACAAAAAGGCTTTCCGTTTTCTTTTTTAGAGACCGATTCTTGAATGAAATGGTGGCATATGTTTTCAAAGACATGTTTTGACTAACCTCTTCAAGCGAACTACCGGGTCTAGATAGTTAATCTTATGTTTTTTTTTAGGATAGGTAGGATCCAGTAGTGGTTTTTTTAAAAAAAAATACGTATGGGATGTAACTTTGCGACATTATTTTGGGGGTGGGGTTATTTTGAGAAGACGGAGGGGGTGGGGAATTAAAAATGTGTCTATTGTTGCGTGACATCATATCAGATGAAAGTGAGTTGCTCCGGGGAGGGGGGGGGGGGGGCATATAGCCTATTTTCTACATAGACCATAAATCATATATTCAGAGGTTCTTCCAGGCATCTTTACCGCCCCCCCCCCCCTTAGTGCCCCCCCAAGAGATTCCTGAAAGCAGTGGCGTAGCCAGGATCGTCTCAATGGGGGGGGGGGGGGTCCAATTTTTACCCGTGGACAAGCTTTCGATTTGCACCCCCCCCAAAAAATTTCAATTTGCACCCCCCTCAAACTTTCGATTTGCACCCCCCCCCAAACTCGATTTGCACCCATAACGAGGGGTCTATGGGGGGAATTATGACCCCCCCCCCTGCCTACGCCACTGCCTGAAAGAACCTGGCTCAGGACAATAGTTTATCTGGTTCAATATTGGACGACCAGTGTAGGTATCTTTTTCTTGTCGAGTGGGCGTGGCCTATTTTTTTCCATTGGTTCCGCGTCATAGAAAAAAAAAAAAAAAACAACATACCAGTAATTCATACGTTTTTTTTTCACCATAAAATGGCATAAAAACATTAGATCAAGATGTTTTGAATCTGTAGTATTGGAATGACTGCATCCAGGTGACAGGACTAAGGGCCAGTTTAACTTTTCAAATTCTGCGTCTACAAGCATACATTTATACACAGGTCCTTTTGGGACGTTTCTTCATTTAGGTACCAAAATGTAAATATTAATGATTATACTGAACATAATAGTAGCTCGACCTATATCAATATCCGTCATACACAGTTTGAGGTAAGTTATGTAACTATTAACAAGAAAGTGATAAAAGCTAAACAAACATGCCGAACGTGTGTATTTGTTTTTTTATGGCACATAATTAAATAAATAGACAATAGCTTCTAATTCTTTTTCATCATTAGCCTAAATATAGCCATCGCTATCCTTTCCCTATACGTAAAACCTAAAAGTTAAAATTATTCAATTGTGGTATTAATTTGTATACATTGAATGAAATGTAATATAATGTAGTTAAATGTAGGTCTATTGGCTTATATTGAGATGTGTATTTTTTATTTTTATTTAGCTTTACAAAAAAATTCGGCTAACTTTTACTTTACGGGACGTTACTTGAGTAGACAATGTTGAGGAAAAAGTAATTACACAGTTATCTCCCAATCAGTCAGGGGACGTAATGCTCATATTTTTCATTAGAACTTGAAGTGCTAGAAAGTTGAAACTGATTTTTCCCTACACTACACGTCATTGAGTCGTCACCGCATTCTAACCATTACATTAATAACACAGATCTAGCTAATAAGATCTAGACCTACAGAAGATCTAGATCTAGATCTAGATCTAGACTATGTTTTGTCTAAGTCAGGCAAATTTTGTTAAAATAACATTTTATCCACTCTCATAATAAAATACTTAAAAAAAACTTTTTAAAAAACCACGTTTTTCTTGTGGACTAAAAAGTAGAAAATAACTATTTACATACATTTGATGACAAAAAACGTGGGTACGTTCACCATCAAATTTCCCGACCCATCTGCCTGACCCACGTTTTTTGTCATCAAATGTATGTAAATAGTTATTTTCTACTTTTTAGTCCACAAGAAAAACGTGGTTTTTTAAAAAGTTTTTTTTAAGTATTTTATTTTCTCCTTTTTAGTCCGTTGCTACACATGAAAAACGTGGTTTTTAAAAAAGTGTTTATAAATACACGGACTAAAAATCTTGAGCGACCAGGATTCGAACCTGGGTTGTCGCGGCCACAACGCGAAGTACTAACCACTATACGATCACGGCCAGCGCGCTCACATCGATTGGGGCCGAAGTAACTGTGTCAATAGGCCTCAAGTCTTGTCGGTATCTTTAGAAATCATGTCCTCAATTTTATGGTCCTTGGGGCGTAATTAAATTAAGCTAATTACGGTCACTAATTGCTAGTTTTTATGATCGCATCTGAAATTGTTAGGCGAAAGTAGAATGCATGCCAAATTTCAGGTCTCTAGAGCAATCAGAAGTGGGCTAATTTTCGATGTCAATTTTAACAACAAACATCCAAACAAACAAATGCGAAGCTGAGTTAAGAAAAACGTTTTAAAAATTATAATGATAATGCCGCAGACGCAGAATAGAATAATGAGAAAATGTCTGAGAATATTAAATTTTTAATTATTAAAAACAATACAATGTATGAATAAGTGACTGAGTCAATTATTAATAATTATATTTATAATACTTTATACTTACATACATAATGAGAATGACAATAAAATTAAAATTGAATACATTGACATTCAGTTGTTCATTACAGTCATTTGATATTCAAACAAATAATCCGCCTAAAATTTAATAAATTAAAGTTATTAATTTAGAATCTTATTTTTTGAAATAAAAATGTTTAATCTAGATTTAGATCTAGACTCTAGTTCTAGATCTACTAGCCTATAAGCTTTTTATAAAGTTAAATTTCAGACTTTAAGATCTGGATCTAAAATTTATAACCCACCCCTCATTGAAATTATCAGTTGATATCCAAAAGTGAAAGTTAACTCATTAATTTTTAAATAATTATATCAAGACAAAATCCTATTTTAAAACGTTTTTCTTAACTCAGCTTCGCGTTTGTTTGTTTGGTTGTTTGGATGTTTGTTGTTAAAATTGACATCGAAAATTAGCCCACTTCTGATTGCTCTAGAGACCTGAAATTTGGCATGCATGCTACTTTCGCCTAACAATTTCAGATGCAATCATAAAAAATTCATAAAAAACGTTTTAATAACAAGCTTTTATGTAATGATGCACTAAAAAGTAGAAAATAAATTATAGACTACTATTTAAATAACTATAAAGAAAAGCGTGGGTCACTTTAGTATCTATTGGATACCTTTACTAATGTTAAGGAAGACACCCACGCTTTTCTTTATAGTTATTTAAATAGTAGTCTATAATTTATTTTCTACTTTTTAGTGCATCATTACATAAAAGCTTGTTATTAAAACGTTTTTTATGAATTTTTTTTTTCCAGTACTTTACATGTTTTATCTACAATAGAGTTACATGACTAAAAACCATTGCGCGCCTACTGAATATCACGTTCAGTAGGCGCGCAATGGTTTTTGAACGCAGCCATTACGTGGTCGTGATGGCGCAGCTATTGATGACGCGTGTGGTGTGGTTGGCTAGACATGCCTACTAATTCGGTCCAAATTTTAATTAATTAATAAAAAATTAATTAGGCATCCGATTAAGTCAAATTTAGTTTCAGATTGCATTGTCTTCATGTCTTGACCCACGTGCCAACTGTGAATCGTATCTGTCAAGTAGAACTGTCCGAATTTTCACTCCTGCGTTTCCGTCTAGACTGACGACAGACAGAGGAAGTGAGTTAAATAAAAGCTTGTAAAAAACTAGCAATTAGTGACCGTAATTAGCTTAATTTAATTACGCCCCAAGGACCATAAAATTGAGGACATGATTTCTAAAGATACCGACAAGACTGGAGTCCTAATGACACAGTTACTTCGGCCCCAATCGATGTGAGCGCGCTGGCCGTGATCGTATAGTTGTTAGTACTTCGCGTTGTGGCCGCGACAACCCAGGTTCGAATCCTGGTCGCTCAAGATTTTTAGTCTGTGTATTTATAAACACTTTTTTAAAAACCACGTTTTTCATGTGTAGCAACGGACTAAAAAGGAGAAAATAAAATACTTAAAAAAAACTTTTTAAAAAACCACGTTTTTCTTGTGGACTAAAAAGTAGAAAATAACTATTTACATACATTTGATGACAAAAAACGTGGGTCGGGCAGATGGGTCGGGAAATTTGATGGTGAACGTACCCACGTTTTTTGTCATCAAATGTATGTAAATAGTTATTTTCTACTTTTTAGTCCACAAGAAAAACGTGGTTTTTTAAAAAGTTTTTTTATTTATTTAATATTAATTAGATATGTATGGGCCTTTTTTTTTTTAACCTTTACCCTCATGAGAAATTCCTGCCCTCAAGATTACCTGTTTTGATAAACCTGACCCTAGGGCCTAGTGAGTATAGTTTCAACACAATGACACAAAGAATAAAGAGTGTTATTTTTTTTTTGTATTGTAATTTTCTAAAAAAAACATTTTTTCAGAAAAAATACTTTCAAAATGGGCACGGAAACTAGTGATGGCTACATACTGACGCCAACTTTTGGAAAGTACGTCCTTGTGATATGTGGCACACTAAACTTTGGTTTAGCAATTGCTGTCCCCATGTCTATGTCTGTTATGTTCCTGGAGTGGCATGATTCTTTTCAAGTCTCCAGGGCAAGGACCGCTGCCGTCCATTCAACATGCATTGGCATCATATTTGGTGCAGGTTTGTTATTTAATAGTTTCGTAGACGGTTGAAACCAATTTTTTTCCTTAATTAAAATACATGTAAAGTTCTCCTTTCAGGGCAGATGAGGTAAAGTTAATGTTTCTTGACCTCATGAAAGTATGGTGTGGTCAGCACTATGCCTAGCCACCTTTACTTTCTTTAATGTGAGTCAGGTACCCATCAGAACTGAGTAGACTCAAGGATATCCTGCAGAATCAAGTCAAGACGGAGAATTGACATAGAGACGTACTGGTCAAATGTTGAATGCTCTACCCCCCAACCACACTGTCCCTTATTTAAAATATAAATGGATTATTTTTTCCTTTTATTACTCTTACAACCTTTAACAGAATTGAAGTGTAAAATTGTATCAATTTAAGATGTTAAGGTTTAGACAAGTTTTTGTGTTAGGGTTGGCTTGTAATATTGGTGAATTTTTTACCCTTTGCACCATTATAACTTTTTATCTAGAAAATTCCATTATAAAAGAATTATCGGGAACTCAATACAAACTTTTATGTTGTTGTATAATCATAATGTTGTTATATAATCATAATGTTGTTATATAATCATAATGTTGTTATATAATCATATTGTTGTTATATAATCATAATGTTGTTGTATAATCACAATGTTGTTATATAATCATAATGTTGTTATATAATCATAATGTTGTTATATAATCATAATGTTGTTATATAATCATAATGTTGTTGTATAATCATAATGTTGTTATATAATCATAATGTTGTTATATAATCATAATGTTGTTATATATTCATGATGTTACTAAAGCTGGTACTTACTACTGCAGGGGTTATTGCTGGGTATCTCATGAACAAAATTGGAGCCAGATTGACCTGTATGGTAGGGTCATTCCTAGCTACATCTGGTCTTTTGATTAGCTGCTTTGCTACAAGTATCACGTACATGACTGTGTCCACAGGGGTAATCACAGGTACGTTGACTTATTCATATTTGTTTTCATATCACCACATATAGCAAATGGTTAAGGAGTTAATGTTTACATTCAAAATAGGAAGGGTTACAGATTTTATCTTGACAGTAGCAAGGATTGAGGTTTTTTCATAATAAGAAGGGTTAATGATTTTTTTTTTTTTAGTGTTTATGTTAATAAAATCAAGGGTTAAGGATTTTTGTTTATGTTTATGAAATCAAGGGTTAATGATTTTCTGGTTAAATGTACGGTCTAAAAAACAAGTGGTATGAAACCAAAGAACAATAGTCAAGCAATAAAAATTTAAACTTCCTTTATAAATTATTGTTGGTAATTAATTAAAAAAAACCTGTGGTGAAACACTTGATGCATTTTGTGTTCCGTGGTCAAGCCTGCCTTTGTCTTCCTGTATAATGTTCTGTTAGCAATGACAATGTACTTGTCTCTATACAGCTCATGGAAATAAAATCTTATGTGTAATATACATTTCATTAACCAGTGTTCAGTTGATAATGCTTTTAAACAAATGTATGTATGAGACAATGTACTTGTCTCTATACAGGTCATGGAAATAAAACCTTATGTGTAAATATACATTTCATTAACCAGTGTTCAGTTGATAATGCTTTTAAACAAATGTATGTATGAGACAATGTACTTGTCTCTTTATGGGTCATGGAAATAACACCTTATGTCTGATATACATTTCATTACCCAGTGTTCAGTTGATAAAGCTTTTAAACAAATGTATACATGCATGCTTAACCTGTATACTTTTATCAGCAAACATAATTTCTCCTAATGGCTTGTTTCCCAGGCTTCGGGTTCTGTCTGGTGCAGCTGCCCTGTATCCCCAGCATCACCCCACCCTTCACCAAGTACAGAAGTTTGTGCATCTCAATCTGTACCTTTGGTGCGGCCACATTCAACATGGTCTTTCCATACTTCTACAGGTGGCTCATCAATCAGTACAGGTGGGTTTCGTTAATTAGTCAATACAGGTGTGTTTTGTTGATTAGTCAATACAGGTGGGTTTTGTTAATTAGTCAATACAGGTGGGTTTTGTTGATTAGTCAATACAGGTGGGTTTTGTTAATTAGTCAATACAGGTGGGTTTTGTTGATTAGTCAACACAGGTGGGTTTTGTTCATTAGTCAATACAGGTGGGTTTCGTTGATTAGTCAATACAGGTGGGTTTTGTTGATTAGTCAATACAGGTGTGTTTTGTTAATTAGTCAATACAGGTGGGTTTTGTTGATTAGTCAACACAGGTGGGTTTTGTTGATTAGTCAATACAGGTGGGTTTTGTTAATTAGTTAATACAGGTGGGTTTTGTTAATTTATTCAATACAGGTGGGTTTTGTTAATTAGTCAATACAGGTGGGTTTTGTTGATTAGTCAATACAGGTGTGTTTTGTTAATTAGTCAATACAGGTGTGTTTTGTTGATTAGTCAATACAGGTGGGTTTTGTTAATTAGTCAATACAGGTGGGTTTTGTTGATTAGTCAACACAGGTGGGTTTTGTTGATTAGTCAATACAGGTGGGTTTTGTTAATTAGTCAATACAGGTGGGTTTTGTTGATTAGTCAATACAGGTGGGTTTTGTTAATTAGTCAATACAGGTGGGTTTTGTTGATTAGTCAATACAGGTGGGTTTTGTTAATTAGTCAATACAGGTGTGTTTTGTTGATTAGTCAATACAGGTGGGTTTTGTTGATTAGTCAATACAGGTGGGTTTTTGTTAATTAGTCAATACAGGTGGGTTTTGTTGATTAGTCAATACAGGTGGGTTTTGTTAATTAGTCAACACAGGTGGGTTTTGTTCATTAGTCAATACAGGTGGGTTTCGTTGATTAGTCAATACAGGTGGGTTTTGTTAATTAGTCAATACAGGTGGGTTTTGTTGATTAGTCAACACAGGTGGGTTTTGTTGATTAGTCAATACAGGTGGGTTTTGTTGATTAGTCAATACAGGTGTGTTTTGTTGATTAGTCAATACAGGTGTGTTTTGTTAATTAGTCAATACAGGTGGGTTTTGTTGATTAGTCAACACAGGTGGGTTTTGTTGATTAGTCAATACAGGTGGGTTTTGTTAATTAGTCAATACAGGTGGGTTTTGTTAATTAGTCAATACAGGTGGGTTTTGTTGATTAGTCAATACAGGTGGGTTTTGTTGATTAGTCAATACAGGTGGGTTTTGTTGATTAGTCAATACAGGTGGGTTTTGTTGATTAGTCAATACAGGTGAGTTTTGTTGATTAGTCAATACAGGTGGGTTTTGTTAACTAGTCAATACAGGTGGGTTTTGTTGATTAGTCAATACAGGTGGGTTTTGTTGATTAGTCAATACAGGTGTGTTTTGTTAATTAGTCAATACAGGTGGGTTTTGTTGATTAGTCAACACAGGTGGGTTTTGTTGATTAGTCAATACAGGTGTGTTTTGTTGATTAGTCAATACAGGTGGGTTTTGTTAATTAGTCAATACAGGTGGGTTTCGTTGACTAGTCAATACAGGTGAGTTTTGTTGATTGAAAAAATAGAGATGGTTTATTTGGATCAGTCAATTTAGGTGGGTTATTGAGTTTTTTTATTGACCATTACAGGTAGGTTATTTGAATCAATCAATGCATGTAGGCTATGTTGATTAAATTTGTTCAGGTAGTTTGAATATTTTTCCATCATTTGATGAAAAATGATCTGTACACACAGCATTTATTCTGAAATCCTCACATCTTCTGCGTCTAGGATTGTGATGTGGTGCACACAGTACATCAAGATAGGAAGCATAAATACTGATAGAAGAAAAATGTTATCATAATATAAAATATTTAGGGAATTAAAAAGACGTCATTGCCCTGAAAAATTTGCATGTCCTTGCCTTTACACTTACTATCATAAAAAAAAAATTGGATACATTTTCATTGTGAAGCTATTTTTAAAAACTTTTCTCCATAATTAATTTTGTTACAATTTTCTGACCTATTGTGCTCTTTTAATTTTTTAAATTCTATTTTTATCCTAGGTTGATTTAGTTGTGAAAGGGTTACACTGCACTTAAAGATAAATCAGCTTGTTCTAATTAACGAGATTCTTTTGTTGTTAAAATTATTATTTTTTGCCCAACAATTTATTTTATATAATTTAAAATATTTAAAATTAACTGTTGAAATGATAAAAATCTTTTTTTTTGTTTCAGTTGGAGAGGTGCATTTTTTATATTGAGTGGTTTAACACTGCAGACATTTGTCTATGGGTTAGCCATGACCTCAACCATCAAAAGAAGGAAGTTGGTGGGATCCACCAATCAGGAAGCTTGTACCATGAACCTATTGGAAGAGAAGGTGGAGACATGTGACAATCATGTGACTGTGGGTGATGAAGGTCATCCAGTTGATGGAGATTTAGAACTTCACCACCTTAGCAGCAGCTCAGATTTGGAGTATAAACAAAAGAATGGTAACTCTTCCTTATCTGATTGTAAACAAAATGGGGATAATCCTTCTAATTCGTACCCACCTTTGTTATCTGATTCACATCATAAGAGAGATACAGAAGAAGAATATTGTGAAGCTAACCCATCATCTTCTGAAAATCCTAATGAGAGATCATGTGATGAACTAAAAAACAACACAACAAAAATGAGATGTTTACTGTATTTAGATGAACTGAAATCATCCAAATGGAGATTTATGATCGATCCAGTTTTTCTTTTGTTTTTGGCTTTTCTCGGCGTCACCCTAAGCAGCATCTTGGCTTGTTACGTCCTGCTCATGGACCTGGCTACAAATATTGGGTTCAGTGAATCAACAGGGGTCCTGTTTATTCTAATCACAGCAGTATCAAATCTGTGTGGTAGGATTGTGTCAGGCCTGATGAATCTGGCACCCAGGCTGCATAGCTTTGTCATCATTTGCTTGTTTGGTGGACTTGCCAGTTTGGCTATGGCCATGTTGGGCGTTGTTACTGACTTTGGTTTGATTGTTGCTTGTTTGGTTCTTTTGGGATCTGGGATTGGAGCTCTGGCTAGTATATATCCCAAGTGTATTTTGGACCTAAAAACAGTGGACAGTGATTCGTATCCTTTAGCCTTGGGCATCACTTGCACAGCGGAGGGATTTTTCGACTTCGTTATTCCTATAACAATAGGTAAGTCATTTTTCTATAGTATCTTGATCAGGGTACATTTGTGTGGTGTGGAGATTTTTAATATAAAAAAACTGTTATATACTGATATATATATATATATATATATATATATATATATATATATATATATATATATATATATATATATATATATATATATATATATCAGTATATAACAGTTTTTTTATATTAAAAATATATATATATATACTGATATATATATATATATATATATATATATATATATATATATATATATATATATATATATATATATATATATCAGTATATAACAGTTTTTTTTATATTAAAAATATATATATATATACTGATATATATATATATATATATATATATATATATATATATATATATATATATATATCTAAGTTTGCATCTTTGCAATTTGTTTTCTGATTTTTAACAATTAAGGTATGCAATGTGGCTATGTGGCCTGAATTTCAAAGATTTCCCTTCTGCTTTTTTATTCAACTTTTATTCCACGTTTAATTTAGTTTAAGTTTTTAATTAGAAAATAAATTATTAATTAAGCTACATGTGAGTAGTAGTTAATAAAATGGCTAATTTTTAGTGAAAATATATTTTTGTAATCTGATGAACCTATTTGGTCAAAACAAAAGCTTAACATGATAATGTATAATCTATATAAATAAATATTTTTCATACATGGAACAGAAATAGATAAGCATATTTTCCCTTTTAAGGTGATTTAATGCCATGGATGTTTTTTTTTTTCAGGACATTTAGTAGACATCTCTGGTTACTATTTTCTCCCTCTGGTAGGACTTGCCAGTTTGTCCATGTTCATGACATTGGTACTCTTCACGGCATTTTGTATGAGTCCTCATCGAAAAAACCCCATTAAAGAATGATGTTATACAGTCCAAACAATAACATTTTAAAACTTGCCTGAGTCCTCATTAAAAAAAACATTAAAAAATAATGTAGCACAGTCCAAACTTGCATGAGTCCTCATTACAAAACCCATTAAAAAATAATGTTATACAGTCCAAACTTGCATGAGTCCTCATTACAAAACCCATTAAAAAAATAATGTTATACAGTCCAAACAATAACATTTTAAAACTTGCCTGAGTCCTCATTAAAAAAAACATTAAAAAATAATGTAGCACAGTCCAAACTTGCATGAGTCCTCATTACAAAACCCATTAAAAAATAATGTTATACAGTCCAAACTTGCATGAGTCCTCATTACAAAACCCATTAAAAAATAATGTTATACAGTCCAAACTTGCATGAGTCCTCATTACAAAACCCATTAAAAAATAATGTTATACAGTCCAAACTTGCATGAGTCCTCATTACAAAACCCATTAAAAAAATAATGTTAATCACCCAAATTATTTATTTGTATGTACACTTATTGTTTTGAATATTTATTCTGTTTCTGGTTTATTGTTGCTCATTTATAAAATATGTTGAAGTTGTAGATTTATGATTGACATACACTCATGACATAGATGACACAAATATTTAAGCTGACATTGTTACTTTATGAACATTTTGTTCTCTTTTTACTATTAATGTCATTTTTTCATTGAACTAAAAGTTTCTATAATTATAATTCAAAACATTTTTTACACTGCTGACTGTGATAAAAATAAAAAAACTTGAAAACAGGATCATAATTAAAAAAATAAATAATGATCTGTTACAGATTTAAGTTTATTTTATAGTTATTGAAGTTTATTGACAATCATAACAATTTGTTGCTTATATTAAAAACCTTCTAGGGCTTAAGTCTTTAGGGAGCCCCTTGGTCAGGAAATGCTGATCATTCTCCCCCCCCCCTCTTTCCAAATTGTAATATTGAATGAACTCCTCCAGAACCTTCCATCACCTGCCACGGGCAACAGGGTCCCAACAATGCCACTTGATTCATCATTTCCCTAATACTTACCCATTTCTTCTTCTTCTTCGTTCTTAATTTTAGTGTTGGAAGGGATCCCCCTCTAACACAATTAAGGATACAATTAAGGATACATGTCGACTGGTTATGCACCATTGAGGCCATTGACTCCAATTTCAGCCTGCTTTTCTTTTTGGATTAGCTTCCATAGCCTTTGTCCAACCAAGAACAAACTACAAGGCAGCAGTTGTTTGATTTTGGAGGTCTCTCCTAGAAGAGTGGCTGTCCCTAGCTAACGAGCCTCATCTGCCTGAGGGTTCGAACCCGAGACTTTTCGGTTTAGCAACCATGAGCTTTACCAACTCGACCACGCCGACCCCCCTTACCCATTTAAATTGTTTGTTACATAAAGTATTTGATGCCTATTGATACATCATTGCCCTTATACTTACCTGTTTAAATTGCATGTTGCATAAAATACTTGATAAAGCAAAAAAAAAAAATGTTATTTTGTTGTGAGTTATACAAATATATAGGCCTAATGAAATTATATTCATATTTTATTTTTAGATGTAAATTTTTATTATGTTAGTAGCCTACATAAACAACATTTTGAGATGAATTACACAAAATTATACATGCAATATATTATATTCATATTTTAGATGTAGTTTTATTTAATGTTTGTTGTTAATTAGTTGAGATTTAATTTATAGAATAATAAAATAGTGCAATAAAATAGTTTATTATAGTCAAAGGAGTTTAATGTTCTGTGTATGAATGTTTTAGCTGATCTAGAATGGAAGTAAAAGTTTATATTTTAAAAATTGACCACTTGAAACTTGACCAGTACCCTTTTTCATTTTCAGTTCTCTTTTATTGTGTCCAAAAACTTTGGAAAAATAAAATCCAAATTTCTTCAAATATAATTTTCTTTTGATCCCCCCCCCCCCCCCCCCTAGTCAACAGTACAGCTGTCTATATTTCAAATTACTAATGCAAACAGTCAAATATTTTTTTTTGCAGCTGTGAAAATGTTTATTCAGTTGCATTAAAATGAATTTGAGATTATAAAATGTTTTTTGCTTTTTAAAAACTTTACCTCCCCTTACTGCTAAATATAAATTTATATCTTTGGCATGACTTGCCATATTGGCAAACAGACTATTGCTGAATAAATCGTATTAAATAATTACCTCGTAGTATACATCTCAGCCACTGTCAGTGCCAAAGTTTAAACATATAAAAATATTAAAAACTATTTATTACGGGCGGATTTCAACTGTGCTTTCCCGGCTATGTTTTAACAGTATACTCATTTTTAAATAAATGCAGTTGAGTTGGCCTGACGTATTTCCCCGACTACCACTGCTTATAAACAATTTTCCTAAAAGGTGAAATAATTCCGGCATGCTAGTACGACGATTTCCTGTATTTTGTGCGACCAAGAAAATGAACATTAATTTAGGATTATTTGAAAAACCCATTTCAGTTGAATTTATCTGGCAACATTAACCGTCTGCTGTGATGTAGGCGTATCCGCTGGCAAGTTGTAACTCTGATGTAACGAAGCCCCCTACACGTCTAGCCTCCTCACGTTCCCGTAGAGCTACACTTTTTATTTCACCTGCCTTGCGAGTGAGCATTCCAGCTATTTTTAGATTGAGCGTGTTGGAAAAAGGCATTATCTCCCTTGATTCAACTATATTTCCCTTTCAATACTACACTACACCTCTCACATATTTTTCCTATCGGAGAAGTTGATCCCATCTGCTCGAATCCTAACAGAAGTAACTGTTGTCTACCAGAGATGCAGGCTTTTGATTTTTGCACCGTAACTTGCATAGATCTATACTGTAATACTGTTGCTGAATTTCCAACATAAAGTAACTACCAAAAGCCGATTAAAAAAAACCCAGTGTCCACAGTGATAGGGAAACATGATGTCGATATTTGATAATAACAAGGTTTCTTTCAGGTATTTTTCTCCCCGGGGAGAAGGGGGGGGGGGTAGAAATCTAGACTTGGTCTAGCTAGACTATCCACTCTCTCCACCCCACCCATTATTTTCGTATTCATCTTGTTACGGAGTATCAAAGTTCAAAGTTCAATTGAACTTTTATGGAACTACGGTGTTCAAACGAAATGGCGTCTGTCTAATTGTCGCTTAAGTTCGTAATTTAGTTGTTGATGATTTCAAGTGAAACGTTTTTTCCTTTAATGATTGCACTATGTCTGTCAAATGATTGCACTTTGTCTGTCAAATGATTGCACTTTTAAATGAAAACATTATGTCATGGATTGATTCAAGTTTGAAGGTTGGTAAAGTTTCATTTCAAGTCGTCAGTACAGAGCCAGGTAACCTGTATAGAAAGTATTAACCCCCCCCCCCTTCTTTAACATATCATCAAATAACACACGTTGTCCCGAAGTAAAGATTACACACACCCTGGCGAAACAAAATACTAGATGGTTCATTATACGAACGTCAAAGACTGTAGTCTATTTTTTGGTACCATCCTAATTATTACTGTTCTAATTGGTACCATCCTAATTAGTACTGTCCTGATTGGTACTGTTCTAATTGGTACCATCCTAATTAGTACTGTGCTAATTGGTACTGCCCTAATTAGTACTGTCCTGATTGGTACTGTTCTAATTGGTACCATCCTAATTAGTACTGTCCTAATTGGTACTGTTCTAATTGGTATTATTCTAATTGGTACCATCCTAATTGGTACTGTCATAATTGCACATGGTACTGTCATAATTGGTACTGTCATAATTGCACATGGTACTGTCATAATTGGTACTATCCTAATTGGTACTGTCATAATTGGTACAATCCTAATTGGTACTGTCATAATTGGTACTATTCTAATTGGTACTGTCATAATTGGTACTAACCTAATTGGTACTGTCATAATTGGTACCATCCTAATTGGTACTGTCATAATTGGTACTTTCCCAATTGGTACCGTCCTAATTGGTACTATCCTACATCAGATATCAATTCACAGGCGATCAATATCTATCGGTCATACAACATCACATGCAATAGAGGAAAAAAAACTGATAGTTGGGGGGGGGGGGGCAAGGCCACGATGAAAATAGTAATTAAAACAAAATTACAGTCAAAACAATGTTTTATCCAGTTAAAATTGAGATAGGGGCGACACCAAACAAAAAATGCACAATAATTATTGGAGGGATGGAGTGACACCCAACACAGTGACGCCACTGTTGGTAGACAAAAAACTTATATGCACTCATATTTTCTATTAAATGGTATACTGTACCATAATAATTTTTTTTGCAATATCTGTTTATCATAGTACTTGTATTATTTAAATCATCATTGCAAGTAAAAACCTAATTAATTCCTAACCGATGTGACACAATTGTTAGTGTCATTGACATCTGTGATGGCATCTATAAGTATGACACATGTGATATTCCACCAAAAAATAAATTAAAATAATATAAAAAAGCCACATAAAGATCTATATACATTTTAAAATTTTGAACATCCTTTAAAAGGAACAGCAACTGATGAAAGCAAAACGGAATGATTTCCCCTTTTAATTGTGATCTTTATATCCGATTTATGGACTGACGTAGGTTTGGAAATGGTCTGACCTTGACCTCAAAACGATTTACTTGGGTACATTGGAATTTAAAGTGAATGCGTCATGTACTGGGTATATGCAGAGTCATAATGCATTTTACAAACAACGGTCAAGTCAATTCAATTTGTAGCTAATAGTGTGTACGAAAATTGTGTTTTCATCGTCTGCAAAGATTGTGCATTGTTGTATATCGATGATTAGAAAGGAGGATATTTTTATCATATAAAAAACAACTGACTGTTTCTTTTCATTGTTTTGTCATCAAATACACCCTTTAAGATATCGGCTTTAAAAAAAAAAAACTTATATAAAATTTCCAAAATAACCGCACTGGTAGAAAGCAGCATAAAAATGACAAATCCCCCCCAA